AGCACTACGTTAGCTATCTCTGCTATAACGACTACATGACATAGGCACGACGTTAGTGTATCATGAGTCACGAACACAGGAAAAAACACAATCAATAGTGAACCATAGGCACGACGTTAGCATAGTTCACGATCATAAAACATACTCAGAGAGGAAGCACTACGTTAGCTATCTCTGCTATAACGACTACATGACATAGGCACGGCGTTAGCGTATCATGAGTCACGAACACAGGAAAAAAAAAACACAATCAATAGTGAACCATAGGCACGACGTTAGCATAGTTCACAATCAGAAAACATACTCAGAGAGGAAGCACGACGTTAGCTATCTCTGCTATAACGACTACATGACATAGGCACGGCGTTGGCATATCATGAGTCTCTAACACATGTGTAATAATTAATACCTACGTTAGCATATTATTCACACGCACATTACACACACAATACACATCAGAATATCAGATATCACACAATGTTAGCGTACCATATTGTGTGGGAAGGACACATTTCTACAGTCCGAAGCTATCCACATAGCACTAGAAACTCCGCCACAGTCTGTGTCGCGTTTCCACACGAGTATACCATCTATTAGCAGTCGTAACACTTAGCGCTGTAGCCTTCACCACACTACACACCACACCACACTCGATCTTGTCAGACGTTCTGTATCCGCTCGGACACACCTGACTATGACTTTTAGTCCATCCTAAATATTCTTTTGATGGAATCCTGTAATCATACACATTGATAAGGCACATACATTATCACCGAATCAGCATGATTATTGATCATCGGTAAAACTTACTTCAATTTTTTTTTATCACGCAATCAACATGGTTCACATGTGAAACAAGTGAATTTATTTCTGCAAATAGACTACAAGGCAGCACTTTTACACGTCAATTTTATCAAGCGAACGATGAGGTCGACATTTCCTAACTGACTACTCTGAGAGGGAATGCCGAAACAAACTCAGAGGTCTGTCTCTTTTAAAGTCCAGACAAATATGTATAAAAAGATTATGTGTGAGAACCGTGCAAGGTCTCTCTGTAGTGGCCTTTTGAGGAAAGAACCACAACAGTTTGAGCGGACCCGTTCTGAAAGCAGTACGCATGTGTCGGTTTACAGTCAGCTCAATTAACAGATGAGGCTGAGTGATTCGACGAACAATACCAACCTAAAGAACATTTGCGTGGGTCGCACAAATACTCAGACTGTCAGAGTATGAGTAAGAAATAAGAAAAGAAAAGTCTCGCACGGTCCTAGCACTAACAATTGTTTAAAATAGAGGTAAATGTCAAGTTTAAAAAAATATAAATTTTTCAAATGAAAAACAATATCACATTATGCTAATAATGTCAAATTGCATATAAAAAGAAATGTAACTTTAAGTGTCAATATGTAAAACGATGTCGTCAATATGTAAAACGATGCCTACAAGTAAACGTTACTTATCGCCAGTTAGCAAACACAAGTAACACTAGCGGTTCAATACGTGGACATCGTTGTTGCTGACAATAAGAAGAGTTTTCATAAAATCCAGCATGAAACCTCTCAAGTAATATATCAAGGTTACAAACTCGAAATAGTACACAAAAAGCTGGGTTGTGTACATATTTGAAATTAAGCAAAAAACGATAACAAATTAGGCATCATCTCTCTCTCAGCATACAATGATGTATCCTGACGCTCTACGGAGTCTAGTCACGTTTCTAGGAGGAACAACCGATCCATACAGCAGCTTGTTCACCGGTAGTAGAAAGCACTCTCGGCCTCTCAAGAGGTTACTCATGCGGTAGACAAACCAAATTAAGTCTGTATTTACAAATTTGCTAAACAAGTGCAGAACGGACATACATTTTATGGATTACAGTAACTGTGAGGTGCATACTGGCAACCTACCTTCACTACAGTACAACAACCACATCAACACTCTATCAAGGGTAACGCTGCTAAGGAGAAACATACACATACTGCTGTCTTCCATTATAACAACAGTACTTCCCTGTACAACTACCTAAGATATGATTCAAGCAGTAACATGTAGCATTTTTCACAATTCTGCACAAGTTGTTAACTTGTGGTGAATGGTGCATATTAGAAGAGAAATATGTTTTTCATCAACATACAGCAGTTCTCCTGTTCTGATTTAAATCTTTATTCTTTGGATAACATTACTTTGATAAAAGATGTAAAATTTCAGCTGAATTCACAGCTAAACCTGAACACATAAAAAAATTTCAGCTCCATCGGCTAAAGATTTGTGATTCAAAATTCAGTTGCAAGATGCCACTTCAAACGCAATACATACATTAAGTTAAGTAAAAGTTTGTTAATGTATTGACCTCTCTCAAGTGTAAACATAACAAATAATGCCTGATAACATAAGAATACAAACAATGTTAATATTAGTTAACTTATTAACAGTTAATGTATTTTGCTTTGTAACAAACGACACCAACAACTTATAGTTGAAACTTGGTTCAATTTTACTGCTGCTGTAATATGCTTATCATCGACCCATTAACTTTAACTGTAACTTTTAACAGTAATCAATAAGCATATTCAGCATTCATATGTTGGATATTGATCAGTATTCATACTCATGACTTCGTACAACGTATTCAAAAGCACAAACGTTTCACAAACTAATCCTTCACATTACTCTAAATACAACCAATGGTAACCCATGCATTGAGCCTTGGACTTAGCTTTTAAGCAGTTGCCGTTGTAAAACATTTACTCATTTTTATTTCAATAATTCAAACTTTATATTCTTAGTATCTCACTGCTTCATACCAGGTCTGCTGTCTATGTTGTTGATCAAAAAAAATTAGCAGATAAAGAATACTAAATATAAAAGTAAGATTAGATCTCACCAGCCTGTTCATTGAATGTATTGCTTCTACAACACGGTGAACCAAGCTTGCATAGCAGTCCAAGCGAAGTCGATTCACCTACTACCACCAAGCATCGACCCTCAGCTACTGCCGCAGTCATGAACTGTAGCTGTAGCGACGTCAGCACAGGCAGGCGCACCGGTGTTGAGCTCACGTTTCCTCACCAGCAATTGGCAGCATCACTCCTCCATGCAGTCAAACAAATCAAAATTTAGTGTTTCAGTTCACTTTACTTTACACAAGCCACGTTAGCAGAATCGCCTAGGAATATTAGCAGAATCACTTCAGTACCTACGTGACATTCATTGACTCTCCTTACTGTTTGTAACAGTAAAGGACATAGGTAGGTATAACAAATTACAATGACAGAACTTGAGATTGTTAAAGATTTTAACTTAAAAGAAAATTAGTAGGAATAGTTTAAACATTGAGTTCACAATTTTATTTATTTGTAGCTTACACGTACAAATACACAAAAGCATTACCTATAGCTTTTCAAACGGGAATTGGAACGTACTCACCGTAAGTTTCAGTCATAGTTATACGTTACCACAATTTGCCACAATAACTCGATCACAACGTACCTACTAAGTAGGTACATGAATACGAGCTTACATAAAACAAATGAAAAACTTTGAATAGTCAATTTGCCGTATCATGTAAGTATTATCTACATAGAAAGTCAGAACGCATGGAAAATAATCGTATCCCACTTCTGATATTAGAAAACTTAAAAACTGTCATAGAGTTCACCTTGCTCTTTGATATTAGTAACTTATTTGTTTTATACCACATTGGATTTTAGAAACTCCGGAGACAGGAGAAATAAAGAGTACCACCATTACAATTCACCTTATATTGTTAACATCGAAATCCAATTACAAATTCAGAACTAGCTAAACCATAACTATTAATTGGAAAGAAAAACAACAACAATAACACATGAATAGGCAAATTGACTTTCAAATAGAATAAAATTCCCTCAACACCAAATACACCGTCTCAATAATTTCCGAGTTCCCGCCATCTTGACTTTTTCATTGTTCGAACCACAGATTATATTTTCCCGCTACGCGATGACATTTCGTTCCTTTTTGTCTATGCTTCTAACAATATTATATCTATCCGTGAAACCAATAGGCTTCTGGTCACATACCTACTATAATAATTACGACGTATCTATATAATACTAAATCTATGCTTCTGGCACACCACGACACACGTGTCCACGCAAAAATATTGACAAATCTCAAGTTTTTGACACTGACATTTGAATATTATGACACAAATCGTCTTATGATAAATGGACTTACACTAAAATCGAGTACAGTCACACACACACGAAACTTTATTTTCATATCTAATAGATTGTACTACAGTACTAGATAAAAGTTGATGGCAAGCCCAATAAAATGAAAAAAATAGTCAACTTGGTAGATACGTAAAATTCATTTGGAGATCCTTTAAATTAAATCACAAATTCATATTATTCTTCAGTCACTTTGATTTAAGCATTTTGAAGTTTTGATTTCAATCACAAAATATGGTTATGGCTATTGTAAATATCCTATTTGTTTGTATATCTATGTATATACTCTGCCTCGTTGGCCGAGTGGTCGCAAGTGCGACTGCCGGGCAAGGGGTCTCGCGTTCGATTCCCGGGTCGGGCAAAGTATTACTGGGTTTTTAAAAAAATCTCAGTAGTAGCACGGAGTCTGGAATTGTGCCCGGTATATGGCAATAGGCTCACCCCCTATTACATTAATAACATTAATAGTGAAAAGTGGGTGTTACATTGTACATTGGCATAATGTGCACCTCTGCCTACCCCTTCGCGGATAAAAGGCGTGATGTTATGTGTATGTATCTATGTATATACCTATGGGCTATGTGTTAAATTAGTTGGTTTAATTATTTAACACTTTTATGTTGGAGTGTACCGACCCATAGAACATTGATAAGTGATAAGGAAGAGGATAAACAAAATAAGTTCATTGGTGTGGTGAATGTTGGTATTAGTACGATAGTTGCACAGTCGGTCCAGTCGGTCGGTTGCTTACATCAGTCTTCTATTCAAGTATATAAAACAAGTAAAATGTCTGATAAAAACAAAGTACTATTTCTTCAATCGGCACCACCAAAATTTGAAGAGATACAAAAGACTATTTTCAATGATGGTGCTGTGGATTTCATATGGAGAATTCACAAGACGTTCGAGAAGCAAATTGAACAACTTTATAAGCATAGGCTGCAACGCACTGTGATAACGCAAACACTTTCGACTTTGGACTTCAAAAAATCTCCAGAAAGAAATGACAAGTCCTGGACTATCGCTCCCCTACCGCCTAGATTACAGTGAGTACATTCCTATATCTTCTTCTAAATTTGGCTAACTATAAATATGTAGGTCCATACCATTATGGATAGGATTTGGGTAATTGATATACCTACATGATATATAATTACGTATTTATTATAATATTTTTCGTTTTATATATTTGTTTTGTAGAAATCGCCACTTAGACCTTGGTGATGTCTCAGCTTCAAACACGGCTCATTTTGTTTCCTCTCTAAATGAAGATGTGCAAGGCATTCAAGTTGACTTTGATGATGGGCACTGCCCTACATGGAAGAATCAGTTACAGGCCTACCAAAACATTAAGTTAGCTGTCTTAGGGAAGCTTCTCGGAGCACCTGTAACTATCACTACCAGTCCCATATTGATGTTAAGACCGAGGGCTTGGAACATGATAGAACATAATATTTTGGTAATAAATCATTTCATGAACTATATAGTGATATAATTAGCTTTTATGATATTCTTATTTAATGATAAACTAGATTATTCATTACACATGTGTTTTAGATTGAAGGTAAAGAAGCAATTGGTCCCTTGGTTGATTTTGCAGTTTTGATGTATCACAATGGAAAACTACTTTATGAAGCTAACAGTGGGCCTTACTTTTACTTATCCAAATTAGAGGGTGCTACGGAAGCATCATTGTGGAATGAAATCTTTGTTTGGGCTCAAAATGAACTTGGTCTGCCACTGGGCACAATAAAAGCATGTGTTTTAATTGAGAACATAGTGTCTAGTTTTGAACTAGAAGAAATTTTATATGCATTAAAAAACCATTCACTAGGTCTTAACTGTGGCATATGGGATTACTGTGCTTCTATAATATCCAAGTTTGGTAACTATTACATTTATTTTGCTTTGACATTGTCTTTAGAATTATTGTTTAACAAGTTTTCTCCTTTGTCTAAAAAATGATTATTCTTTATCAATACTTTACACTTGTAACACATTAAATGTATACGTACTATATCTAACCTAACTATACCTAACAAATAAATAACTCCAAGACTATTTGTTCTTTTGGCTCCCATAGGTACTTATCTGCTGTTTATTATCAAATGGAATAAAATGTTTATTGCGTTAGCTAATGAATATCTTTATTTATGTATTTTTATAACAGTATTAAGTTATATTATCTTATGTTACCAGGGGATCGTGAGGAGTTCTTGCTACCAGATCGTAATAAGTATGTGAATATGGATCGCCACTTCCTGAACAGTTACATGAAGCTTGTCGTGGGTACATGTCACGCTAGAGGCGCACCAGCCACCGGCGGTATGGCGGCCGCCATGCTGAAACCTGGCTCCGATGCTAATGACAAAGAGTAAGCTTTTAATTAGAGTGCGACTCTTGGTTTACCTGGATAGATTTTTATTTTTCAAAAAATAGTATCTATATGTAAGGGTGTACATTAAGATTTTTCCTGGGTCGTGGGTGCGTGCGTTTACAAACATATAAGTACATAATACACATCACATCCAGCCCCAGGACAACAATTTGTGGCCCAGATTAAGAGTTATCCCATGTAGTAAGCAAATGCCCAGCAAGTGCAGGCGGAGTATTTTTTTAAAATTACAATTTTATAAAAAAAGAAACCTTAGCATTGAAAACTTAAGTTTCATATAAAAAGTAAAAAATCTTATTGGATGGTGCAGGTAACAAGTAGGTTTGGACTTACATACTTATGAATATGGAATTTATTATTACAGATCTAAAGTTATAATAACAAAGATACTGGCTGCAAAACTGAAGGAGATAGAATGTGGTGTTGATGGATTCATGGTCTATGATGCAAGAGTAGTTCCTCAAATTAACGAGGTTTGTATAAATAATATATGTATAGATATATAAATAGTATTAGCTATACTATTTGCTACTATTTGCATTTTACAAAGTACTGTAGGAGTGTACTCTCTAGTTTAAGGGAATATTTAGGACTATCATAAGTATGTAAGTACATAAATATGAATAACTACCTTAGCCTAAATGGAATATCACACAAAAAAAAAAAATTATTCAATGCAAACCAATAAATCCGGAGATTAGCACTTTAGGCTCTAAAACATCCGGGGACACGGTTGAGCATACGATGGCGGTGTGTCCTGCGTGGGCTGAGCACCGCCGCGTTCTCAGGGATGTCATCGGCGACGGCGACCTCTCGCGTCCGGCTCTGGTGGTGACATGGTACGGAGCGAGGGGGACTGAGATGTCTCCTCCTTCTGCGAAGCAGTCATGCTAGCTAAGGAGGACGCGGGGCGCGTGAGGGAAAACGAGCGAAACTCCTCACGCCCTAGCCGTCGCGAGAGACACTCCGGGCGTCGCGAGATGATCTCAGGCCATCGTACGCACTGGCCTGCGGACGGCGAGCCCGGGTAACTCGCAGTCCGACCAGAACCAGACCCGAGCGTACGGCGCGTCGTGTTCCGCACGCGCCTCAAGGAGCCATCAGATTACTACAGATGGGGCCCAATAGGGCTGATGACACGTAGCCGCGGAGGGCTTAAGGTTGCCGAGGCTCCGGTTCGAAAAGCAAGAGTAGGAACGTGGTGGTTTTTAGACAGTAAAAGTCCCTCTCGCCTCAACCCGGCGGGAGAAGTCCAATGTCTTCTGATGATTTTCCCCCCTCAAAAATAGGCTCTAAAGCCGAGCAGCTGAAAAGTAGATAATTGATAATGAGGGCCACGGTCTAAAATTATACCACGATGCTTACTAAGTAAGGATATAGGTACCTACCCTACCTATCCCTAATAACAATTCTTAATAAATTACCTATAGGTACTTCAGACTACCTACACAAAAACAAATAGAATAATCTTTTTTGTTCGGTATCGGTACTTAGCGTAACAATTGCTAACTTCACGGAAAATGTTTTAGTACTTAACAAGTAAATTACAAATATTTTTTTACTCAAACTAATTTTCATTGTAATCATGGACATTTTTCAATGTCAAGAAGACGTCATCTGGCATTGCTTACCTATTCGTAGGTATTTTTTTAAAAGGTACAGTGACAAGCAGGTCTATCAAATGTACTCCAATCTATTAATTATTTCATTGGATTTTCGACTTAATATCAAAACTATATAGTTGAAAATTTAAGAAAGGAATTTGACAGAAAAAAAATGGCAGGTCAACCTACTTAGATTGACCTGCCTTTAGCTACCTGGTACATAATTGGCATAACTAGTACGCCATTTTGAATAATTTATGTCTATTTACAGCTCTGGAAGAAAAGCGGTGCCACACCAAACCAGATATGTAAAAAATTTGAAGTGAATGTAACAGCTCAGGATCTACTGTCTATACCACGAGACGGTGTGACGTTGCAAGGCCTGAAGCACAACGTGGCTATCTCCATACTCTTCATCTACTACTGGTTAGCCGGCATCGGACATTTCTTCTACAGCGGCAATGTGGAAGATTCTGCTACTGCAGAAATATCCAGATTCCAAATCTGGCAATGGATACGTTTCTCTGTAAGTTGTGATATTCAATAACTAGCTGTAGGTAGGTAGGTACCCGCAATTTCTTCCGCGTGGAATAGTCACTTTGGATAGTTCTTCACAGCTCCTCCCCCGTAGGTGATAGCGTGATAATATGTGGCCTATATGTTGACCTGGCCTATAAGTAATATTCATGCAAAATCTGAAGTTAATCCATGCAGTACTTTTTGAGTTTAGCCCGGACATACATACAGACAAACAGACAAAAATTTTAACAACTATATTTTTTACTTCGGTATCGATTGTTGATTTGACTTTCCTACGGTTTTATTATACCTATGTATGTCGCGGAGAACCTAACGGGTAACCGGGGCTCCGGCTCGACGTGCAGGAGAAGGAACGGGGTGGTTTTTAGTCAGTAAGAGTCTGACACTCCCTCCCGCCTCACCCAGGCGGGAGCAGTCATTCGATGATTTTCCCCCCTTAAAAAAAATTATACCTATGTATATAATAGATATAGATATTGTAAATAAGCAGTGTGATGGCGATAGAAAAGAATACACCACCCTCTCACCCCTACCGTTCCTGCAGGTGTTAGTCGAGTACATGTTTAACAGAGACCAGGCAGTAGCGTTGTCTAATAAACCTGATCCTTTTAATCTGGGGTCTCCAAGGCAAACCCATCTTTTGTAGTGGAGGCCTATATTCCAGAAGAGGACACTCGGTGGATAATGATCGTAAATAAATTACATTCTTTAACGAGTAAAAGTTTGGAGTACCATATCTACATAATATGTATGACCTATGCCGTGTGCTAATAACACAAGTGTTTGATCACACTAATCACATTTTCTTGCAGCCTCCATTAGAAGATGATCCTAAGGTGCATGTAACTGCGAAGTTAGTTGAGAAGACTGCGGCGAGTTTTGCTGCGCATGCGCATAAGAACCTTTGCCGGTCGAATGCTGAGCGCAAACGCTTGACCGCTGCTAGATACATGTGTATGGAACTGTTCCTAAGTAGGAATCCTCCAGAATTTATAACAAGTTATTTAAATGATAATCATAAATTCAGAACATTGCACAACAAGGCGCTTTTGAGCAATTTGTGAAAGAATACCTGTATGAATTACTTGCTATGGTTGCCTTCTAATTAGTTTTTGTACGAACAATATTATTTCGAGTTCCTCGTCAAATAATTACGTGAGTAAAACGAAAAACATAATACATATTATGTTGGGTAACCTTCATCGTCTATAGATTTTTGCTACTTAGATGTGGATAATTTTGACACATTTATTAAGAAACACGATTATTGTATGAATCGAATCAGATACTAGGTATCTTTAGTACTTAAATCTACCAAAGTATAGATTATTGAAAATTTACGGTTACGTAAATTAAGTGATTAGGTATACAATAAAATTCATTTTATTGTATTATATCTCTATATCAAACTAACAAATGTATCGGTTTTATAAAAAAACGTTTATTTAGTATATTAAAACTTACATTTTACTGCGACTTTGTTTGCGTGGAATTTAGAATATCCTGAAAGAATATTAAGATGAAAACTGTCTGGTGAAAGATCATTTGAAATCGGTCCAGTAGTTTTGGAACCTGTTCAATAAATACAAACAAACTCATTCGATTTTATAATATTATTATAGATGATATTGCAACATACCAAATAAGATTACAAAGATATTTTTATTTTTTCTAGAATTTAGTCTTCTATGGGCATCTGTGATATAACTTTTTGGTTTATTTACATTGTTTACTGCATGTTAATAAAAATATTATGGGTTAATCTTGTTTTTTTTTCATACTAGCTTGTGTCCGCATTTCGTACGCGCATTCCGTTTGTCCCTGTTCCCGTATTCTTCTAATAATAATTCTTGGATAAAAAGTATCATAATTAATTAATTATGTCAGTTTCTTGGTTCTAAGTTACCTCCCCACCAATTTTCAGCCAAATCGATTTAGCCATTTTTAGTTATATTTATAGAGGTAGTGTCATTATGACGACTTTATTATATATACATACTTAAATAGAAGATAATAAATTAGTCAATTTAATAGTGTTTTAAGGTACCCACTGTAACTAGTTTTAAACTTTTAACTAAGGAATTAGGGTTATTGTTTGGCAAACTTTAGGCCCTTCTATTAAGTCGGAGTCTGAATAAAAAACAAAAATCTTTGTAAATGATTTTATTTTCTCAACACTTTTAATCAAAAAATATTGAATATATTTAAACTTAATATTCGGTTTACCAGCGGAACAAGTGTACATAGTTCAAGCAAATCGACTGTTAATTTAAACTATATAATTAAAGCAAATATTATTATTTTATTATGCTTAACATTCAATTATAATTCAGGCCATTAATGTCCAGTAATGCATTATTTAGTTACACTTTTCTATATTGTACAATGACCAGCAGGTCAAAATACTCCTGTCGTTTCTATAAGATTATCGCTTTAATTGTTATAACATAAAAGTTGAGAATCCAATGAAAAAATGACCCATCCTTCCTGGACAGAGTCGTCAGTAAAAAGGGTGCGCAGAAAAAGCTAAGTAATAATTAAAGAGTTGTCAGCACTATACTTAATAAAATATTTATTAGATTCGCCTACTGAGTAATAGACCAATTTAGTTTTTTTTACAAAAAACATGAATCGAGGTTTTAAATTAGAAAAAAGCAACACTTCACTCAATTTGCAGCATGCAGACTTTGAAATTGAAACAAGTATTGTGCTAACCAGCTAGTTTGTTCCGAAAACTATACTTTCACTATATAATCAAGAATACACCCATTTCAGTTATAACATTTTATATAATTATGTTCACGACGAATAACACCGTAGATTAAACAATTTAGAGTACTCGCCCTAACGAAATCTTACAGTTCAAACAACAAAGTTTAACATGCTGATAATTTCATTTACAATTTTAGGCTATAACAGATAATTATACATCCATTACACATATTGTATATATAATTATATATCTATCTAATAAATTCAAGTGTAGATTATGTAACTTCACATACAGGTGTGTTACAAGATAGAATACAAAAATACATAATTATTTTCAGTTACACATTGCGCTACTTACAAATACACATATATAGGAAACAGCAAGATTAGTTTGTATATTGCACTAATAAAAAATAGATCAGTTTTTTCGACATTTGAATAATTTGTGCTAACAACACATTTTATGATTAGTGCAATATTTAATGTAGCTAATGATAAATGACATCAAACCATGAAATAGTCAATAGACAATTACTACACAATCATATTTATGGATTACACAAATTCCTCATTAACTTTAGCTGCAAGAGTTATGCACTAAAATGAGGTAAACCGATTTATACTTAGGCCAAGATCAGTGTGAAATGTTTATACACTGGTTGAACTACATTTCTTGTATTTATCCAAGAAGAATCATACACCCCTTATATTTAATGATAATGATTTTGAGTGATAGGAGGTGTTCTTCACTTCAGAGCAGCCATTCATTTCTACGTTTATGGTTTGTTTACAAACTTTTTACATAGATCTTAGCCTGAGTGTAGTATTTTTTTATTTTTTCCTCTAAATCTCAGTTGTTTCTATTAAAGGTCAGTCCTTAAGAGATATGTCTATAACGTACAGATACAGCAAACAAGATTATACTATCCATTTCATTATTCATAAATAATTTATTTATGAAACCTATCAAGTACTGGACTGAAACAGGTATTTTTTTAATAATGAGTATACACACCATATAACAGAGGGTGTATCTATTGCCAAACATCGTGCATAATTCCAAACTGAGCTATCATTGAGAATTATTGAAATTTTGGACATGTTTTAATAGGAGTTCACACGACCTGGTACTTAATCCCGAGGTCTGATATTTGGCAGTCGCACTTGCGGCCGCTCGATTCATTAGACAGTTGTAAAATGAAATAACATCAGTTTATAATGAAGCCTAATTGTTAATACTGCACTGTACTGTTAATATAAATTGATAATTGGGAAGTTTCCTGGGTCAAAAATAAATTATTTTGATTTTTCAATCCAATTAAATATTGAAAAATAGTTACACTTTCATTCATCCATTTGCCGATATACGTAATTTTCGATTTATTCTTGCATTTTCTTCAGATATAAGTGTGCTATTTGACACGAAAATATGATGACATCATAAGATGGTATTTCGTACAAAATTCATAGAACAGTATCGTTATTGACGTTTCGATAAAAGTATTGAATTTGACTAGTTGTCAACTACCGTATTAGTCGTTATCCATGTTCGCACACAAAATTAAGCACTCGCCATAAGAACAAAAATCGTTTTTTATTACAATTTTTAGCCCACGTTCGCTACGCGCGTTAGCATGTGAAAGTAATGACACATATCGTCAGTTAAATAAAAAAATCACGTTATTCATTCAGTAAGGACAAATTTCATTAACCCATTAGCGCCTGCCGTACTATATATAGTACACCACTTTAAACTACGATAAAACTTACAAAGTTAATATTTTTGCTCTGGCAATAATTTGAAAGGGTCCCTAGCAGACCTTGCAGTAGGTGTATACATAAATCGAAACGTAATTATTAAATTGTATGAGGGTAATTTGAGATTTTGTATCAGTGATTTTTTCGTGTTCTTCGGTGAGTACTTCTTTATTTTATTTACATGGTTTAAGTTATTCAAAAAGTCAGAAAAGGTCCTTTTTTACTTTATAACATTATAACCTAATAGAATAAATATCAAAAAGTTAATTTCATTTATAGACTTTGATAATATAACTCCCAAACTGCTGCTGTACTAACTTTAGTACATTGGGCGCTTGACAACGTAATGTAAGACATTACAATATGAACATGTTTTATTAGAATTTTCAGTCATTTGCTCATTATATTTACTTGTGGCATTTGTTTTAATTTTCAATAACGTATTACCCTTTTTCTGGGTTTTCAGGAGACAATAGGAAACCACTATACATTTATAAAATGGCTTATAGACATACTTTCACACAAGAAAATAGCTATTTTGGTTTACAAGAAGCTTTACACGATATAATCAACCAGGATAGTGACGACGATGCTACTTATGATGTGATTATGTTGCCACCTGATCCAGACGTTGTCACTGATGAAGAGGAAGGTGGTGAGGATAACTTATATCATAACGAATTACCTCAGGATGTTCCAGGTAACGTAGAAGTGGTTACTCACAGACGTTCTTGTGCTGTCGAGGATGAATGGAGCACCGACGATGATGAACCTCTCACAACAATGGCATCATCGTCTTCGCAAAGTGCGCCAAAGAGAAGAAAAGTTGATGGAGTGCCAACTTGGAGAAAGTGTGTGCCTGTTTATTCCATTTCTCGGTCTATTACAGAATCTGCAGCTCTTGAAGAACGATGTTCTAAAGTTTCAGATATCCTAAAAGACATGACCCCTGTGAAAGTCTTTGAATATCTTTTTGACGACGAAGTGCTAGAACTTATCACATCACAAAGCACAATATATGCTGGGCAAAACAATAGGCACGATAAATCTTTCAGTAAAGAGGAACTTCGAAAATTCTTAGGCATACTTATACTTTCCGGTTACCACAAATTGCCTAGCGAGAGGTCGTACTGGAGCTTAGATGATGATCTAGGTGTAACATTCGTTTCAGAATGTATGTCAAGAAATAGATTCATGGAAATAAAAAGAAATCTGCATTTTGCAGATAATACTTTGGCTAATAACTCTAATGATAAAATGTTCAAATTGCGGCCACTTTGTAATGTTTTACAAAGATAATTTTGTCAATTTGGGATGTTACATAAAGATTTATCGATAGACGAATCAATGGTCAAGTACTACGGACACCATTCGGCCAAGCAATTTATTATGGGTAAGCCTGTGCGATATGGATATCGTAATTGGGCGTTGACTAGTTACGATGGCTATTGTTATACATTTGATGTGTATTGCGGTAAATCGTTAGAAGCTACTACTGATCCCCTTGGCTCTCGCGTTGTGAAGACTTTGCTGAACAAAGCGCCAACAAAACCTGAAGAACACGTCGTCTATTTTGACAATTTTTTTACCAATTACGATTTGCTTGTTGATTTAAAGAAGCTCGGTTACAGGGCTACTGGTACCTTACGAGAGAACAGAACCAAACGGTGTCCTTTGATTACATCTAAGGAGATGCAGAAAAGGCCTAGAGCGGAATACGACCACAGATTTGATAAGTCTAACGAAATTTTATTAGTTAGGTGGAAAGATAATAATGTTTGTACTATTGGAACAAAGGAGAATGTTCACGTAACTATGGAATTTCGTCTTACGTTGTTGCACAATAAATCTTTATTTATTATAGACCATGCTTATTATATTATCGAATAAAAGCGTTCATTTTCCCATAAATATCCGGGTTTTTAAGTAATTAGACAAAAACGAAAATAACCTAAAATTATGTTTAAACTGTCAAACACCGTGCGGTCACCGGTGACCGCAACACATTACAACTAAACACAACACATAAAACGTTTTGGCGTATATAAAACTTAACTAAACATAAAAACGTCTTGTCGTATGCTACATGGAACTCACGCTTATTTATTCAAAAGTTCAAAACAAACACTCAAACAGTGAAACAGAAACAGTTTTCCTTACAATCCAAATGCCGCCACTCTGTCTGTCACATGTTATGACAGTTGCTTCTGCGTGAGACGGAACACAAAAATAATTATAATTGTAACAATACTACAAAATACTAAATAAATACATTGTAAAATGTATTAATATTACAAATTATTTAGCTATTTATTGAAGTTGATATAATTTTTGTGATGTTTTTGCCGAAAGGTTCTACTTACGTGATTCGTAAACACGAAGTTTTATTCGTAAGTTAGCACGGAACGTCAATGTCCTTGAAACGGAAATTCCATAGCAATTTTTATGTTACTATTAATCTTATCATCATAATTCCGGATACGAATATACAATTCCTGAAGTGAAAAGGTTGTAAAAAAATAAGAAAATTATTTCTATATTATTTTGATTTTTCAACTTGAAACTTTGCTAGACTGCTTTTGGTCAATCTCCTTTCGATTACTTAGAACCACTTGGAAAAGTCAAAAGGTGGTGTCCCATAAGGAAACAAAAAGTAGACGTAGACATACCGCATGTATTCCAAAATTATAACAAGGGGATGGGCGGGGTTGATCAGATGGATCAGTCCATCGGACTTTACCGAATTGGGGTGAGAGGAAAAAAGTGGTGGTGGGTCTTGTTCACTTATATGGTGGATATGGCAATTTCCAATGCATGGAGACTACATTGCATTGCAAACTCAGATAGTCGAATGGATCAGCTAGCATTCCGCAGACATATTGCACGTACATATCTGAGTAATAAAAAGCCCTATAAGAATAGATCGTCTTCCTCTAGGATTGATGGAGAAGAAAGAACAAACAATGGCCATAATCCGGAAAAAATACCAAACCAACTTAGATGTACTGTGTGCTCCAATAGAGTCAAAACCGCTTGTGGAAAGTGCCTGAAAACACTGTGTCTGGATAGAGGATGCTTTGCTAAATATCACTCTTAGGCGCCCATTGTACTAAACTTAGTACACCCCAAAAAACCCAACTTTTTATAAAAACATTTTTTTTCTTTATTTTTTTTGTTCATAAGAAAGTATTTTTGTGCCGTAAATAAACATTGATTATGTAAAATTTATCGTAGTTTTAATTTGGGCGTTAATGGGTTAAAATTCGTTTGAATCTCAATTACATTTGCGACATCTAGTGAGTTTAGCATGAATTATAGTGTCGTTTGTACATAGTTATAATATAATGTTGTTATTAGAATTGTTTTATGTAATAATGTTTATATAAAAAAAGGCATTTTTGCATTTCATCGACGATATGTAAGCGCGTATTACCACGTGTACATGGCCTTAGTTTTCTTTCATCTCATCATTTGAATTTGAATATTATATAAGTTAAATTGATTGCAATTTTATATTACTCAATAAATTAATGACTAAGGAATGGGTATTCTGAGGTTTGTTTGTTTATACAAAGAGTATACTATGTACATAAGAACAAAAAATAGTTTATAACATAAGAAGAACTAGTTATTTATAATAATGCTTGTTTAACAAACCCAAGTTTAGTTACTGGATGGCCATTCTCGCCTTTATAGTTTTACATTTTGAAAATATAATATATTGAAAAGGACTATTACATTGTAAAATAAAATAGAGCCACAATATAATAATAATAATCAATACACCCTTATAACATCACGCCCTATAACCCCGAAGGGGTAGGCAGAGGTGCACATTATGGCACTTAATGCCACTGTACAATGTAACACCCACTTTTCACTATTTATGTTATGAGTCCCTATAATATGGAGTGAGTCTATTGCCATATACCGGGCACAATTCCAGACTCCGTGCTATTACTGTGATTTTTTTTTGAAATCCGGTAATTCTTTGTCTGACTCGGGAATCGAACCCGAGGCCCCTTGCCCAGCAGAGGCCCATGTCCAGTAGTGGACGAGAACAGGCTATTGATGAGATAAGAATACATCCCATAACACGATAATAATCCATGATTTTTTAAAATGAGTATCAACAATATCAGTTTTTCTATTTAAATACCACACCTGGCATTTAAACAAAATAAGTTCTAATACTGAACAATTTTTACTGCAGCGCCTTGTGAATTCGAGAAAAGAAGACTCATACAAGTTGACGATACTAAAGCGAAAATTGTTCAGTTTGATAGCCTGCACATACACTATTCTGTTGCACTTTGTTTATAGCCTCCTTCTCATGTTATTAGGTACAATCACTATGTTCAATTTACTTGCTACGAGACCGTGCACCTGGAGCTCTGCTCACCCCCAACCCTTTGTCGAGCGAGTGCACGCGCAAAGGCCGTGTCTCGCGCTTGTAAACTAGTGTTCTCTTCTTGCATAGACATTGCTAAAGCGCGCGCCAACGCCTCATCTTCAGTCTGTAACAAAGGTCGAGCTTAAGTATAGTTCTGTCCCTACAAATTCTTTGTAAAATGACAGAGATGGCACGATATTTAAGTACATATTGAGTAGCCTTTCAGTATTCGGGTGTTAGTTAATAACACCGATTAGTAATACGAATGCACTTCTCGAGAATAGCTCTATTAACTTCAAGCCACACCAGGCCGCTACAGTACATGACCAGCGCGCGACGCTGCGATTAAAAATACATATTTTAATATATTATTAATAGGATAGGCATGGAAAACTGTCTTATAGCCCCTTAGTAAAGCTAATTGATCATTCAAAAGGGTAAATTGATAAGCAGAACAACAAGTTAAACACTATGTACCTATTGTATTTTTCTATCAGTTTTAATTCATGAACCGAGAAAAGAAATAAGACTAACTAAGGACATTATTAGTTACAATTTCACATGAAACCTAAAACTTAATTACTTACCATGTTTCCTTGCACTTCGGAGAAGGCTGTAACTTTTGCCGCAACTGGGGCGTGTGTCATTTTATTTTCGGCCGCTTTCATCCTAGCCATAGCTGCTTCACTAAAAACGTAATAAAAATTGATTAATTTCAATTGCCTTGACCAACAGTTTGTTATTATAATGTAAATTAATATCAAAATACCAAAAATAAAAGTAAGAAAGAAGGTTTTTGCTTGTATTGGGACAAAAGTATGAAACAAGTACGTTTCGGTCAAATATCTTTATTAGATTTTCAATTTTACTGTTGTGACATAAAGTCGATAATTCAACGGAAACATTTTTAGATTAGAGCATTGGCCTGCTAGCCACTGTACATAGACTCATCCTGACTTCCCTGGGCAAGCAGGATCCTTTTTTCTTTTGTATAATATGGCTAAAAAGGATGTTGCAAGTATAATCTACTGTTACAGAGAAAAACAGATGAGTTGCATTATCAATTTGTTGTTGATGGTTGTAATAAAATATAGAGATACTTACGCTGCCTGTCTTCTCTTGGCAGCCAGCTTGCCTTCGCAGGCGTGGTCGCTGCCGTGTCGATGTCGAAGGCAGAAGTTAAGTGAGCACTCACTGCAAACAAGCGGCACCATTTCTTTGTTCTTGCATCCTTTGAATGTGCACCGGTTTGTGAAGACCTGTAAATTATCATTATACATATTATAATAACATTAGCTTCATAAATGGGATTGCCGCAGTTTCCTAGACAAGGCACCTTTTTGGTGATTGACATGTGTATGTCAATTGCTGTTTGTGTCTCATAAAATGAATTAGCATAATTCACAGACCGGTGGTATTGTAACAACAAACTGAGGGACTATACATTTGACAGAGACCAGAGGTGCGTTTACACACATACGAGTTCACATACACATGACACCCGACATGATACGGAGTCGAACCCGCGGCACGCTGCACGGCATCCGGTTGCACAGCCACCGCAACAACTGTGCAGTCAGAACTTTTTATACTGCAACCTTCAACCCATATGGTTTTTATGGCACATAGTCACATGTCTGTGTACTTTAGCCGTTGTCATTGTTAATCAGGATTTTTTAAACAGCGTATCTTTATGATACAGCAACATATACATATATGACCAAAGGACATAAAAAAACTACCTCAATGGCCGAGTGGTCGCAAGTGCGACGGCCGGGCTAGGGGTCTCGGGTTCGATTCCCAGGTTGCGCAAAGTAGGGGTTTTTAAAAAATTCTCAGTAGTAGCACGGAGTCTGGAATTGTTCCTGGTATATGGCAATAGGCTCACCCCCTATTACAAGGGACTCATAAAAAGTGGGTGTTACATTGTACAGTGTCATAATGTGCACCTCTGCCTACCCCTTCGGGGATAAAAGGCGTGATGTTATATGTGTTATGTGACATAAAAAAAAATATTGTACTCACTTTTCTCCGCCTCTCCACAGCTGGGTCTGAAGTGCACTGGTTATCAATATGAGTTCCAACAGCAACATCTGGTGGCTCTCCTCTTTTTCCTGGCACAGGTTTACCGCATAAAGGGCACTCTGGAACCTGGACGTTCTGTCTATCCGGTGCTGGGCATTCATGCTTTGTGTACGCAAAGTGGTCAGAACTGTAAATAATTGTATGGTTTAATCAGACAAGTTCTTTGAGGTGAGATCGGTTAGTAAAAATTGTAAACTCGTTGTTATTGTTTAACTCGTCAAGTACCGTATTTATAGACACAATTAAAGAACAATAGGTTGCGGTCACCGGTGACTGCTTGGTGTTTGACAGTTTAAAAAAATAATATTTATTATTATCATTAGCTGAAATGTATGTACAGCACACTAGATAATTGCACAGCCAGAGCTCATTGCCAGTGATGAAATAAAATTTTGTTTAACACATAATGACAATACATCAAATTATGCAAATTTAATAATATTCTACACAAGTTATTGTTCATAAAAATTTCGCAGTTATAGCATGTAATAGTTGGAATTGTGTTTGCTTTATGTAAAATAATTGGGGAATAGAAAATTTTATCAATATTGCAAATCTCTACGAATAATAAAGCATGTTACGTTTATAGTGTAACCTTTTAAAACCAATGAGATAAAGCATTGCACAGAAAAAATATAAGTAGCTTACATACATTGAATAAATTATAGTTATGACATCATGAACATTTATCAAAATGTGGTTGAGATAGATAACAAGAACCGGTTCATTGTATGACAGTTACTACTCATCCAGATCATAATTTTATGATGGTTTGAAATTACTCACTTTAATAATAATAGAAAATAAATATCATTAAATAACATTGAAAAGGAAAAGTATAATTTTGCATTAAAAAAATATAACATAAAAAATGCACTTTTCCTGTCTTTATCTTCACCTTATAAAATTGGGAGTAGTTTTTTACTCTAATTAGAAGTGTCTATGCAATCTGGTTTCTTAAAAAACATTTGTTCATACTACTAGAGTATCCATTTTGAACTTATCTTAACGAAACTTGGTACAATAACTATATCAAGGTCTAAAATGTTAGTGAAAATATTTTTGAATCTAGGTGACCAATTATATGGTTTTTGTATTATTTGAATGGAAACTTCAGATTTATAAACTAAACTTTACATTAAAAGTCTCAGCGTTTTTCTTTCTCAACACTTTTACAGCTTTTTATAAATTGATGCTAATACAAACATAATCAGCCTAATTATTATAATTAACATTACATTCTAACAAGTTTGACCTCAAGTTCACTCACCAGAACATTTCTTTACAACCTCCACATTTATAGGGCAGGAAGTCTGAAATAAAAGAAATACTTGGTTGAAAATCGTAGAACAAAACGCCCAAATAACAAAGAACAGATGTTTAATATTTTAATAGTTTACAATTAATTGCGTAGGTTTAAGACATAAAACTTTTAGAAAGCAGTTGTTTTATTAATTTACGTTACAAAGAATATCGATTCTTTTTCTTAAAACTAATGGTTTATTTACACTTACCTAGTTTATTGCATGATTTGTATGAACAATTCTTTCCAATGTGAGGGAACTCCATTATTGTAGTACTGAATAATTAACACTTATGTTCACAAATGGTACTCCACAAGAACTTCACTATCAATGATGACGACAAAAATTTGTTAACACTTTTATATCACGTTTGTTGCAAAAGTATTACAATTCGCTTTTTATTCGTCATCCACTGACAGTCAATGATGAAACGACATTTTTCTTTGAAAACATGCATTTACGAATATCGATACATATCATTAATGTGTTCGAGAATATTCTGTTTATTTTAAAACCATTACATGGCTCTTATAAAAATATTCGTTAAGCTTGAAGTCTTCAAAACTGTAAACTTAACTTTATATAACTTGATCTAAGCATGGATTCTTTTAAATTTCGTAATTTTTTTTATTAATAGTTTCAAACAATAATGAGATGACTCTCTTCATAAACATCACTGTATAATGTCATATCATTTACGGAATCCGTTTCACGCATGTAGTGATCTAACGTTACTATTTTAAAGTATTTTACGTCTTTCTTATCATACTTATCTCTAAAAAGTAAGTTTGTTGTATCTGTCAACAATAAATAAACAATTATTATTATTTGTGTTTACGGCTTTGACCAATACTTTGACCGTGGTATACCTTAATTTTTTCGATACATCTTTGCATTGCTACCACCAACCACGTGAACAAATAACGCCAGAAGTATATTAGCGTAGCCCAGCGGTTAATATTTCGCCAGTAGTATAACGGTTCCATACATTTAATAGGTTTGAGCGTGAAATATGGATAAAGTATGAACCTATAACGACCCATTGCGTAGGTAGGCAAATGCTATCATGTTTAATCTTGCTGCCGATCGGTGTCCACATAGACTGGTGCTGGTGTCCACGACATGGCGCTACGACATGTTAGTATATCATGACTTTAAAAAGCAAATGTCAGAGTGTCAATGTCACGAACGTCACTTTCGACCTGAGCGACGACACTGGGACAGCTTGTAGTAGTTTTTAATTTTAATTAAACCGATAAAAAGAATAAAGTGATCCTATTAAAGAGGATCACTGAAAACACTGGGCTTTCTAGAAGAACTAATATCAAAAATGAGTAAAATCATTCCTTCCGTCGCTAAGCTTCTGGCCGGTAATACGGTTGCGGTGGGTCTTTCCTCGGGATTTTTAGCTATTATCTATTATAAATTTTATATGTGCTATTAGAATACAATCAACAAGGTCAAACAATGTATACTCAATATATTTTTTTCATTTTAGAAAGTGGGTGCCCCAGTTGCAACGACTTCTAGTGCAAAATACAGTACGAAGAGTGAAGCTTCATTTGAAATCAAGGTAGCTTTAATTTAAGATCAATTACTATTTAAATTGTGTTCGGCTAGTTTGTAGTGGTGCGTACAACGTGGTTCATGAACGCCGGCCGTTATTTAATACGAATCAAAATATAAACTGGTTGGTTTTCCAATTATGTAACCTAACCTTCATATGTCAAGTGTAACGATGTTTTGTTGTCAGTTATCGGCATTAAAGCCCTTATTGCTCATGAAATAGAGGTGTAGTGAAGGTTAAAATTTTACTGTGACTTCAGTGGTACCTGAGTAAAATGAAAACAAATTGAGTACCTATAGTTGCTCGAGCTACACTTCCACTCCATGCACATTGAATAGTTTACTTTTTGAAGTAAATTTTCATAACTTAAATATTATGAAATTAAGTGTAATTGGATTAAAACATACCGGCCGAACGTATAACCTCCTCCTTTTTTTTTAAGTCGGTTAATTAACGAAACAATAGGTAGTTTCATAAGTCGCTGGTTAAAATTAGTACATAATAATATAGTTCTCTTTTTCTATAGCAATTTATGTTTGTAAAGACTTCGAGACCAACTATAATTTGAATGTTGTGAAAGTAAACACTAAAGTAAAATTTCACTATTTCTTATTACTTTATTAGGCAATAAAATTTAACTAAGTTTCTTTTTTATAGCCTTTCAAACTCCATAAATTGGAGAAAGGCCCTGCCACAACAGCTACCCTAACAAGTGAAGATGCCCTCAAACTGTATGAACAATTGGCGATTCTGCGTCGTATTGAAACCGCTTCCGGCAACTTGTACAGGGAGAAGATCATCCGTGGTTTCTGTCACTTATACTCGGGTAAGTATTTAAATATAATTGAGAACTTGCCACCACATTTAATAATTTATTATAGACATGATTTTTCTTTATCAAAACATTGAGAGAGAGAGCCTTAACTTCATCCAAAATTGACCATAAGTAAATTATTAAGGAATGTTATAGACATGAAAAGATTATGATCGTTTGTAGGAGAACTAGCAGTGGAAGTATCGGTACCAAAAATTGTGTTACACAATAATATAGTAGACTGCGTAAATTAATAATTAATTAAGTAATAATAATATTTATTTCTTGTAATGTTTAGGTCAGGAGGCTGTAGCCGTGGGAATGCGTGCTGCGATGCGAGATATAGACACTGTGATCACTGCATACCGATGCCACGGCTGGACCTATCTAATGGGTGCTAGTGTACTTGGTGTTCTTTCCGAACTCACTGGCCGCAGGACAGGAGTATCACGAGGCAAAGGAGGCTCTATGCATTTGTATGCAAAGAATTTCTATGGTGGCAACGGCATTGTTGGAGCTCAAGTAAGTGTTGTTCTTCCAAAGTCAAAATCATGTCAATTAGAACAGAAAGGCACTTTTGAATGTCAATAAAAATTATATAAATAAACTATTTGCTCATTCCAAGGTGTAAATTTCTATGGAGAAGAACAAGCAAGACACGCCATAGGTTACTCTTTTTCAATCAGGTTCACAATAATTGTTCTTTGAATTGTGCGAGATTTGTTATTATTACTCATAAAAGTTGAGATTAATATAATTGTATTGTTACTCATAATGCTACTGTAATTGTTATTACGCCTGTTCTATAACTGCTACTTGTACTTGTACCAGAAATGGAAAAAGAAGGTACTGCCTCCTGAGATACAGGCAATGCCTAGATCAGGAGATAGAGCTTGATGTATTTAGGTGTTGATATATAATTAAACAATTATTATTAATATAATCTGAGAAAAAAAACTATTATAATTATAATAGAGTTTTATAATAGAATCTTAAAGTGTTATGACTACTCCATCGTTTCTTTTTATCCTTTTTCTTAAGCATTGATATACTACTGATAGTTTAACGAATAAATCCAATAATAGACTAAATAATAAGTCATTAACAATTGTCAGGTGCCGTTGGGAGCTGGTATAGGTTTCGCGCACAAATACAAAGGCGATGGCGGAGTAAACTTTGCATTGTACGGCGACGGTGCCGCGAACCAAGGACAGTTGTTTGAAGCCTACAACATGGCCAAACTATGGGACTTGCCTTGCGTGTTCGTCTGTGAGAACAATGGATACGGTAAGAACTAAGTTAAACAAACCACGTCTGTGCTGAATGCCTATTCATTATTGTTATCTTCGTGTTCGTTTTTCACTGATTCATCGATGATTTACGGACGGAATTCTTTACCGATATTCATCCAAAATTCTATCTAGGATTTTGGACAGAAACTCAACTAAATGGCAATTAATCTCAATTAAAAGATGTTGGATTGAAATCGATTAATAATATCGGCCGTTATTAAATTGATTAAGCCATATAGAAAATCTGGTTTCAATCAAAAGCAACGTAAAATTAGTACATGACCAGCGGCTTGGCTGTCGTGGAATTTGCAAGATTTCTCTCGATTAGGCCCCAATCCTGTAAACATATCGAGATAAAAATGTCTAAATGCTATGTTACTTTCTTGAATATTTGCAGTCCCATTATGAAAGATATTTTCAAATCGGTCCAGTAGTTTCGGATCCTGTTCAATGTAAACAAACAATAAAAAATTTATATAGATTCGCAAAAGAACGTATGAATAGATATTAATTTAAATACGTAATATAAAACGAATACTTGTTAAAATTAGGTACTATCATTTAGTTATGATATTTGTTTATGAACATGTACTTAAGTAATATTCTCATTCGACCTTAATTTCACCTTCAAGGCATCTATATGATAAAGTTGATTAAATTGTGTTCTAGTTTGATTTTATTACATTGTTGAAAGTGTAGGATCGAAGGTAATATTATAACACCTCGCCTAATGAACAGCAAAGGGGCAGACACAGGCTTTCCGAGAGGTTTTTGTCTCTTCATTGTTAGTAGATTCAATAGATACAGGTATATTTTCACCAGTTGTGTAATAATGAGTCTATATAGACTGGCTGGCTAATATAGGCCGCAGTGTAGTATAGTGTACTGCTGACAATTTTTTGAAAAACCGAAATCATGTCCTAACTCTTTGCCCAACTCACACCTCTTGGTTAGTAGTCGACTCGATGTCGAAGGTATTTCATTGCAATATTTACGGTAGTATACTTTTTAAACAAAATCCTGTGGGGAATTCGCTATCCACCGGGCGTTTTGCCTTTGCTCGCTTGCGCCTAGTGCATGCGAACATCGTTTAATGATGGTCGACCACCAACTTTGTTGCTTGTACTTATTAATGAATACTGCCCTGTTAGTAATAGATCTGTTTATAACTCACTTCTTCCTGCTACGTCACAAAATCGTCACACGACCACGGTACGATTTACATAGATGGCAAACTGTTCTATACTCTATTGCTTACTGCTTTTGTATCAAAATTGAATGTATTTGATGATTTGATACTCGTTTCCGAGCAATTTGAATCATTATTTGTATTGAGTAAAAGTGACTGCCTCGTTGGCCGAGTGGTCGCAAGTGCGACTGCCGGGCAAGGGGTCTCGGGTTCGATTCCCTGGGTCGGGCAAAGTATGACTGGGTTTTTAAAATATTCTCAGTAGTAGCACGGAGCCTGAAATTGTGCCCGGGATATGGCAATAGGCTCACCCCCTATTACATGGGACTTATAACATAAATAGTGAAAAGTGGGTGTTACATTGTACAGTGGCATAATGTGCAATTGTGCACCTCTGCCTACCCCATCGGGGATAAAAGGCGTGATGTTATGAGTAAAAGTGCTATTTTCTTGGTTAGTTCTAGAAAGGTTTCAATCAAAGAGAAGTTGAAGTGTTAATTAACCGACTTCAAAAAAGGTGATTGCAGTCGGTTTTTTAAACGAAGTTTATAAAAGAATTGTTATTTTCTTCTGTAACTATGTTATAATTTATTTATTGCCTATTTGTATTATGTAACTATGAATCCGACTTATCAGCGTTTTTTCTTGTTATCATAAGAATTGTTTGGCTAGACATATTTATCGCAGTTTCAATTCATGTGATACAATGATTGTAAAACACATAATTTCATTCGTTATCTAAACTCGTTAGTTGTACAAAAGTTAACATTGTATTGCGGTTTGTAAATCATTTAACAGACTTAATTTTCATGAACTAGATCAGTAGATTTTTTCTGTAGTTCTATCTTAATCTAAATAATTATGTCTGGATCGATCTAAGTTTTTGAACAAAACTACTTACATATTACTTATGTCACAAGTGGATCTTAAATCACAGATTTTGTAGGTCGGTTATTTATTTCGGCCAATATCCATTATTCATCTGATCAGATGGGGCCCTGTTAAAATACAGATGTGTAATAATAACAATAAATATGTGTTCTACAGGTATGGGAACAAGTATGGAGCGGTCTTCAGCCAGCACGGACTACTACTCGCGCGGTGACTACATCCCTGGTATCTGGGTGGACGGTATGGACGTGCTTGCTACCAGGGAGGCGACCAAGTTCTGTATCGACTGGTGCACAAGCGGAAAAGGTATGTATTTTATAGTGAAACAACGTTGTTTTGTGTGAATGAGGAGTTCACCGGAGGCCGCCCAATCTTATACTTCATATTTTATGCTTATTATATAAACTTGGCTACTGCCTCCTTGGCCGAATGGTCGCATGTGCGACAGCCAGACAAGGGGTCCCGGATTACCAGGTCGGGCAAAGTATTACTGGGTTTTTTAAAAAAAAAACCTCAGTAGTAGCATGGGGTCTGGAAATGTGCCCGGTATATGGCAATAGGCTCACCCCCTATTACATGGGACTCATAACATAAATAGTGAAAAGTGGGTGCTACGTACGTGGCATTAAGTGCCGTAATGTGTACCTCTGCCTACCCCTTCGGGGATAAAAGGCGTGTTGTTATGTTATGTATGCATATAAACCTGAATAGTTTGTTTGTTTGTTTGAACGCGCTAATCTCCGGAACTACTGGTCCGTTTTGAATAATTATTTTTGTGTTGGATAACGCATTTGTCGAGGAAGGCTATAGGCTATAAAACATTACGCTGCGATCAAAAGGAACTGAGCAGAGCGAGTGAAACCATGCCGAAGTAGCTAGTCTTCTATAAAGGGAGGCTGATGATTAACATATTTGATCTGGTATCGGCAGGTCCATTAGTCATGGAGATGGAAACATATCGTTACTCCGGCCACTCTATGTCGGACCCTGGCACCTCGTACCGTACTCGTGATGAGATCCAGGAAGTCCGTCAAACCAGGGATCCCATCACCTCCTACAAAGACAAGATTCTGAGCAACGAACTCGCAACACCTGACCAACTTAAGGTAAATTGTACTTTAATGCTATTTAAATTAAGTTTATTTCAAATAATATTTGCAATTTGCATAGTGATAAAATTTGGGAATAGTGAAGTGAGTTTGTTTTGATTTATAAAAATATCCGATAGCAGTTAAAAAAACTATCTTGTTCGGAATTAGCATTTCCCACCAAAATTATTATATTTTTATTCTCAATTTTTGTGTAATTATGTTCATAGGAAATCGACGCAAAAGTACGTCAAGAAGTTGACGACGCTACAAAGCAGGCGAAGACCGAGCCTGAGATCGGTATCGAGGAGCTGGCTGGAGACATCTACGTCGACTGCATTGACCCTGTCATCCGAGGCGTAATCCCTAACGCGCCCCTACAACACATCTCCGTCGCTCAACGCAATTAGATTGCTATTACTAAGGAAATTAGGTCTGTTATCCACTGCAATATGCTCCACTACACCCAGTGAGATTAGCAAGTTAAGTAAAACTTTGATTTTTTTATTTTTTATTTTGTAAACATTTTTAGTATTCGTTGCAATGCTGTATTTTGTATTTTGCACATTGAAACGTATAATCAATCACACGACAAATTATTTTTTAAAATAATATATGATATTTTGTATCGTTTCTATTGACTTTTTAAGCGTACAACATTTTGTGGAACATATTGTATGGGATTGAGGCTTTTTAGTAATAATTTGAATAAAATCGAATACTGGATTTAGAATCGTAATTTATTGGCAACAAAGTCGCTATTTGAAATAGTGGGCCCGTTAGCCTTTGCTTTTTTAGTGAGTGGTGCTATATTTTTATTGTTTAACAGAAAAATGAGCCACTTTTAATCAAATTATTTATAAAAGCCTCATTTAGCGGCAATTGTAATTTTGTAATAAAGAAATTATGTAGATTGGTATATCCAACGAGGGGATAATAATTGTTAATATTTATACTATTGTTGCGTACCTTACATGCACAGGTATATAATTTTATATGTTATTTTTTTAGTAAATCACGTAAGGGAAAGTGATACTGCCGATAATATACCACTTTGTATTATTTTAAAATTCATTTTGATTATTTATTTATAAGGCAGATTATTAAAGTTATAACTTATATTTGTTGGGTTTAATTTTCATCCCGATTAAAGAAGTAATTGTAACGATCGTACTAAGTTTAGGTGGTACTTAATTAAATATTATGTTTTCGGCTTACTCGTGTTACTAGTGTCAGTTACGCACTGACACTTGCCTAGTTTCAAGCCATGCTAAAGGCTCATATTCATGAGCAGTATTTCGCGACAGTGCCGCGTCGTGTGTCATTTCATTGTCATACTGAAATAGACTAGAATGTCTCGCGAAACTTGTAATTATAAACAAAGAAATAAAACCACAAAATACGTCCACAGTATATATTTACCTGTACAACTACATACATTTACACTTTAATTAGCAAAAACACCAATTATAAATTGTCATGTGGTATAAAAATATCTTTGATCAACAAATTTCATTGATACACTCGAGCATAATTTGGTGATTTGTTTGTACCTACTCTAGAAATGCTAAAATATACAATACTGAAGCAATCGTTAGTAGTTTATAACAATATACATTAGTAAATAAAAATATATTTAAAAATAATAATCTTTGGTTACGTTATAGCTTTATAGCCGATAATATAGGTACATACATATTTGAAGGCACCATAAAGGCAAGGTGTTATAAAAATATTATATTTTCATTAAAATCATAAAAAATAAAGTCATACAAAATATGGATACAATGATGATTTGAAGCACGTAGAACGGACATAAATTGTTGCGTGTAAATAACCTAAAATATTAAAGTTTATAAGCATTAAATATAGCATATAAATAATTTCTTTGGTTCAAACATTTTAAGTGAGCAGACGCAATAATTATGTTAATAGGTATGATACTACTTAGGAACGATTGTCTTTTATGAAAGGAACGTAAGGGACTAGTTAGGGAATGTCAAGGATCTAGAAGGAATGTTCCGAACACTGTAATTAAGGACATTAAGTTCGAAATTCTATTACATTCATACAGCAATCTTTACAAGATAATTTGCTGGGCCAAAGTCATTTATCTATTTTGAATTATACAACCTATAGATTAAGGAGCTGCACATACCCTGGGACGGATTGGGTCGGAAGGGACCCGCAGCAAAGGCAAGAGTGGACCCGTAGCTGAGTAAAAAGTGAAGTGAACTTCATTTTTGTCGTAATGTATGATTCTGTGACTTGGCCTATCCACCGTCTCGAAACTATAAGCCCAATCCACCCTGTGTAATTCATAATGATTTGACACAAATAAATCACGTTAGCAACAGAATTTATGTACAAATAATGTTAATTCGAACTAAGTACTCGAAGTACAGGTTACGATTTGGAAAATGTGATTCTAATTGGTCGTTTAAATGTGAATGATTATATGAATGGTCAATAAAGGAGCCCTGCCACGTTGGGTTCATCAGGCCACTGCGACAGGGTGACTGACGACTTTCATCAGTAGTCTACAAGAAAATGTAAGAAAGGGGTTCACTACACGTCGCCTTCTTGCGTTTCTTCCATTTCTTCCGGTATGCCGCATTGTAGTTCATAAAGTCTTGCGTATATGCCATTCTTCTCTATAAGTTCTCTGTGCGTACCAGTTTCGGCGACTACTCCCTTAGCTATAACTACGATCATATCCGCTGTTTGTATTGTGGATAGACGATGCGCTATGATAAGACTCGTGCGGCCTTCGCTGGCTCGGTCTAGAGCTTCTTGTACTACCTGTAGAAAAGTAGGCAAACTTAGTAACAGACAATTCAATGACAAATAAAGACTGGTAGTACCTTTACAGCTAGACAAGTCCAGTCCAAAAGTACCTGCTTACCAGCTATCGTAAACTGATGAATACCCAAGCGGTCACCAATGACCGCTCTCCACTCGTTAGTGGAGGGTTAATGGGGTTCCATTAAAGACCTTATTTCCGATGTTTAGAGACTACTTTTGTTTAAACAGTTTGGGGATTTTCGGTACAATATATCAAGTGCTTGAGAAATCCGGAACCTAGAGAAACATTTGGAATTTAATCTCGATACTTTTTAACTTATTACCTTTTCGCTGTGTGTATCTAGAGCTGACGTCGCCTCGTCTAACAGTAGCACGCGTGGGTTCCGCACGAGTGCCCGCGCTATTGCTATGCGCTGTTTCTGACCCCTGACAGCTGGGATGCGCGGGCACCGACACGTGTATTGTATGCCTATATAACAAAGAAGGCTAATATTAGTATGTAAATTAATAAATAATAATGTCTTTTGAACGCTCGCTTCGCTCAGGCATGGATCCTCAACTGGAATAGATAAGACTGCACGGTTGGCGGGGTGGTTGGGCAACCACAAATTGTTTTTCTGGGTCTGGGTGCATTGTGTGTGTGTGGGTGAAATTGTACGTTTCTAAACGCATTCACGATATAGGACAAAATAGCGTGGGGCAACGATTGAAAAAAACGAATCTGTGCAGATTTATGCTGTAAGGTCTTTGTCAAAATAATGTGTACTCCTAGTCTTTTAATCGGCTCTTCTAGCGACACCTGGGAAAAGTTGGGATGAGAGTGAGAGTGACAAATATTTACATTATACCTTGCTGTGCTGTCACCACGTGGCAAACATTACGACGCTGAACTCTAGAAAAAATAAAATTATAATACTACTTACGTTAGGCAATGCCGATATAAAGTGTGAACGTTAGCCTGTTTGGCTGCTGAGACGATTTCTTCAATGGTAACCTGGCGCCTATTGTCTCCATAAGCAATGTTCTCCGCGATCGTTCGATCAAAAAGCACCGGTTCCTGTGATACGATGCCAAGGTTCGCCCGTAATGTTGCCAGACGCATATCCGTTACTATATTGTGGTCATCCATATACTGCAATAACAGGAAAATGGACGATTGAAAATGAACTTACATACCTTACCCATGCCTGTGGCTACACACGAGATGAGGTAAGTACGTCCAAATTCCGATAAGATTACTAACAGTTGTAAAGAAAATAGTCAATGCTATTAAAAAAAAAATTGCCATTGGCACCCAACATGGGGCAGGTATGATCAATTCATTCTTAATAGATTAGTCGTAATCATCATCACCATCATATAATTATAAAGCCATAAAACTGTTCTGCTACGTTACGGTTAATGTACTTTTGCTTTTGTAGAATATCAGGCATAATATTATGTCTGGTTTTATGTTAGGACTTACCACACTGCCTTCATCAGGGTCATAAAGTCGCTGTATAAGTTGGATGAGAGTGGACTTCCCGCAGCCGCTAGATCCCACGAAAGCCACACGTTTGCCGAACGGGATAAGCACTGACAGTCCACTTAACACTTCTACTTCGCGTCGTGTTGGGTATCGGAACTTTATGTTTTTGTACTGAATTTTACCCTCGGCCACCTAAAAATAAGAATTAACGATATAAAAGCTTGTTGATGAAATGGTACGATGGTAAAATGAGTCACTGTGCAACTAATAGCACCTAACTTTGATATTTAATATGTCATACATAAACCCTATTTCATTTTCTCAATCAAAATACATAACGCAATGACCGTAGCCATGATTAGATTATGAAAACATCAAATAGGAAAACATGAAAAAGCTATTAGGAGAAGTTATTGGGACATAAGGGTTTCATTGCACTTACGTAATCAATCGGTACACTAGGTGACTCCGTGTCAGCTACTTTAGGTTTCCGGGCAAGCAGCGTCATAACACGACCAGCAGCGCTCACCGCCGCACCGAAGTTAGGAGCGAACGCTAACGCCTGACCCATCATCCAAGCTCCGAAGATAAGAGCTTCAGATACCCTGAAACATAAATCTCCTTTATAAATATATGGACGCGGGAGAGCCACGCTTCAGCTTCGGCATAAATTAACCGGCTTGACTTTAGTTATAGATACTACAGCCTCACAGAAAAACGTCGTGTCAATGAGGTTACCGCAGACCTAATCAAAGGCATAATGTGTATGGGCTGCATTGATTGCTTACCATCAGGTGATGTTTCTACAAAACATTGAGAAACAGAATTCGGAAACTTACTTAATTACGCTCTTGTAGTGTATCTCTCCTTCGGCGACGAGTACTCCACCGTACCATAAAGACAAGGCATACCCAGCAACTGGCGCAGTCTGTCCGAACGCGAACACAGTGCCACGCCAACGCAGACTCTTGCGCGCCATCACTCGACCGCCCACAAACGCATCGTGGTACCGTTTAATCACACCCTCTTCACCACCTTGGCAAAAGAGTCCCTTTTATAGATAAGAATGTCATATTGAAATTACATAAAGATAATTCCATGTTGACACTGAATTTAATAAAAACATATATATTGAGAATAGGCTTTACCTATGTTAGACCCGTAGCACACGGAGTATTTTTATATACGCGCCGGTAACGCGCGTATTAGAAACGCGCGTCTTCGGTGCCGTAAATGCTGATTGTATCGTTTGCATTGGTGATACATAGCCACTGTCCACTGGGCATATACGCGCAGAAGACGATGTAGTCGCTCATACACACAAGAAAACAATAGAAAACGCGCTATTGACGCGGGTATTACAAGGTTGCGTTATGATTTCGTATGAAGCACGTACACGCGCGTCAAAAATACGCCATGTGCTATGGGCCTTGCTTTGAGTGTAGTCACTTACAGAAAGCGGCGACGGTCTTTATATTGGAGATGGCTTCAGTAGCAATGGTTGTTGCTCTGTACGAAGCTTCACGAACCAGTTGTAGGCCGACAGATAATACTCTGCCTTCCATTACCACACTACCGATGACCATCGGCACCGAGACCAGGGAGACCAGTGTCATCTTCCACGTGAAGTACATCGACAGCATAATGCCAATCACTATCGTGGCTGTAGCCTGCATTAGAGCACCAATACGTGTACCTGTCGCCTAGCACAAAATAATTTTAACTTATTAAAACCGGCATAACAATAATTAAATCATATTAACATTTTCTTATCGAGTCTGACTGGTCTGGAGAGTAACTATCTAAAAATCAGGGTTGTTAAACCGGCCGTCACATACTTTAAAAATCTAGGTATGTCTAATTACGTTACTCTCGTGGCTACTAATAATTTAATATGAGATGACTAGAGTTTAATTTTTGTGTTGGGCAGTATCTTTAGTATTTCGATGTATCAGTAATAATGATGAATGAAGCCTGGAATAGGTCGTAGACATATCCCAAAAAACAAATTGATCTATGACTGGTGAACGGCGGGTGTTACATTTTATATACGACTCATAAATATTATGTTACGTATCTATTTGATCGTATCGGTTCATGAAACGTTACCACGCTAACTTACTCCTTGGACAGCTGCCGCATCTGCCGCCAGTCTTGCCGTCAAGGCACCGACTCCATTCTTAGGGTCATCAAACCAACCAATTTCTTGTTTTAACATGGTTTCAAATGCTGCCACCCTACAAAAATAAACCAGGAAATGTTGATCACAGATAACCAAATTTGTTTCGATCGACCAATGACGGGCGAGAATACGATCGAACTCACTTTCAAAGTTCGTACCGACAGTTGGGTATTTGAAAACTAGTCAAATTCAATACTTTTCGTACTGTCAAAAACGACAGTTTTCTATGAATTTTGTACGAGATTGTGAATACACACAACAAACATACACAACAAAAATACGTGAGGTCACAATAGTGACCTCACGTATTTTTAGCGTCAATCAGCATACTTATTTCGTAAAAATTAGCTGGAAAAATACTAAAATTGTAATAAAATCAATTAATGACAACAGTCGAAATAATTTATTTTTGATTGAGGAAATTCCCAGTCACAGAATGACCTTGCTGTAACTAATAGGGATTTTCTACTGTTTAAGTTCACGTTCTTTATTGCATTCCACCATATTTTCTCAAGTGAATCCTCGTGCATTAGTTTAGTAACGTTTTTTTAAAACGACTATTCATTTAATCGATGCCGTACAAATAAAAATTAATTAAATTACCGAAGTCTGGCCGTAAGTCGAACACCCGTGACGTTGAATATGAATATTTGGAAAAAGATGCCAATGCCAGTGTAAACTCCGACGAGTAGAAACAGGATCGCGATCACATTCGACTGACCTCGCACCCACTCGGAGTCAGGGCTCTCCAAAAACTACAATAAAAAAGTCTCGATATAATAAAGGATATGAGATAAAATCACCCAATCAGAACTGGTTACTGCCTCACTGGTACTCCGCATTAACATGTATTAGTTAATACTGAGACAGATAATTCGTAGCTGTAGAATAAAATTCACAGCCTAAGAGTCTTTAAGGCCCGAGTGAATAGGTTGCTTATGGGACGACGTGCTCCATTGTAGACTGCATCATCGCTTACCACCAGGCGAGATAGTAGTCAAACGTCGGCCCATCAAATATAAAAAAAACAGTTTTAGTATGGAAGAATAGTCAAATATTCAAAATTATTCCTCTGTTTTATCTAGCGTTGGAAAAATCGGCCCCTAATTAGATTAGTCGCTGTATACTCGTATAGATACCCATAATCAGTTCCATATTGAAAAAGGCGGACTTAAGAAAGACAGACCAAGGTTAGGACCAGCATGTTTTCGAAAGCCAAAAAAAAAAACTATTGTATTCTAGCTATAGGTAATTAGAATACCCCATAAGTCTCTCCAAAAAGAATGGCGAACGTCGGAAAAGAAGAGCCGACAGCTATAGCTGCAACCACGCCCGCTACCATCAACCACCTCTCAGGTGCACATAGCTTCAAAATCTCCCAAGTCGTTGGGATGTATTCTGGTTCCTCTTTTTCCTCTTCTTCCATCGAACCATCTGACGATACGGACGACACCGAAGACGCGCGACTTTCAATAGAGTCTAGTGATTTTACCCTTTTCGGTTTTAGAATTTTTGCGTCTGAAAAGAGGATAAATAATTAGTTTTGAATCGGTAACATCTATTAATTTAATACATAGCATAAAATACTACATTATTACAACTATATACTATAAAAGAAATTCGCTTTTTGTTTTTTTTAAATATAGGTATTGGTAGATAGTGTTTCAAGTGCAACGTAAGAAGGTTTATATGTATCATAACTCCGAATTAAACGCGTGCAAAGCCCTCAGGTAAAAGCTAGTTAAATTACTATTCAAAAGTAAAAACTAAAGCTTACGTTTTGATGGTACTCGAGTTGCAGAGATTGGAGTTACAATTTCATCCCTCTCAACTTGATTTTCCGCCGCGAGCTGGTAGAACCGCCCCTTTTTAGCAATCAGTTCTATGTAAGTGCCTTCTTCAATCACTTCGCCCTTGTCCAGAAATACTATTCGATCTGCATTCAATACTGTTGATAACCTTTGCACACAAAAAACTTTAATACAATTATATGCCACTTAATCTTAATGAACCTAATCAAAAACCTATATCTAACGCTGAAATGTGTCTATTTCAAAACTACTAGGTACTTATCCTTCAGTATAAGGAGGATGCTTCAAGGTAGCGAAATTTAAATTTACTTAAGCTTTTGGCAATTTATATCTTGATATACTATGATTTGGGTAGTACCTTAAGCATCTCTCTTTAAAAATTCTTTCAGTCTGAAACCAAGTCCCTTTACTTTCATATGTACCTGTGGCTCACCATAATGGTGGTTCTTATTACAGCGGCTTCGTCCAAAGCTCTTTGCACCTTGGCCTCGCTCTGGGAGTCGAGAGCCGAAGTGGCCTCATCAAGGAGCAAGATCTTGGGATTTCTTATCAACGCTCTTGCTAAAGCAATGCGTTGCTTTTGTCCTCCGGATAGTTGCGCACCTCTCTCTCCGATCATTGTGTCGTATGCCTGATGGAAATGTGTAAGTTAGTACCTGTCCCATAGTAAATACCATTAGGCCTTCTTTCAAAAGACCATTATATGCCTTCTTTCAAAAGTGTGCTTTCTTTCTTCTTCCTGTTTCAATTACTTGAGGCATATTATTTCTTTTTCATATTATTGTCCTAACATAGGTACAATTAAATTCTATGTAGGTATTAGGTCAATGATGTTTAAATGATCTAGGAGAGACACATAGATCTCCATAGGGAGGTGCCGTAACAAGCGTTGCACTGTGGGGGCTCCAGGGTTGGTCTTCTAAGAGCACCCGGTGCCTCCTTCAAGTGCGGATGTTGGCCACCGGGGAGGTTTTAGTGAGGTAAAAATCCCACACTCCCTCGTCATTTCCCCAAAAATCTAGGCACCTTTGGAAGGTTCCCCCCGTCAACAAAAAAAGGTAAATGATGTTTAAGTAGGTACGAAATATTAGTATTGAGTGAAGAATTAGATACTTTTTATAAATAGCGTTTTCTCTTTGGTTATGTTGTTATAAATAGATATTAAAATTAAGGTACATACGTCAGGTAATTTCTTAATGAAATCATGGCAATATGCTGCCTTTGCCGCTGTTATGATTTCTTTGTCAGTGGCGGCTGGATTACTCATTCTATAACAAGTTAAAAATAAAATTAATGTTGCATAATAATGACACTAAGTACCCACGTTTCGAAATATTTTTACCTGATATTTTCTCTAATAGAGCCGGCAAACAGTACCGGCTCTTGTCCTACAACTGCGATGTGATTTCTATAATGCCTGACGTTCATATTTCTCAAGTCGTTGCCGGACGCCGACACGCTACCGGCGTCAGGATCGTACATTCTCTGAATCAGTTGCAGTATAGTCGACTTGCCGCAACCACTTGGACCCACTAAGGCAACAGTCTCATTTTCTTTTATGGTCAGGCTTAAACCGTTTAACACCTGTAATTGAACTTGTTTTGTTAAAGGATTGTTTGAATGATAAAAACAGAGGCCTTAGTAAACAGAGGCCGTAGCCGCGTTCGGCGCTCTGATTGGTTGGTTCATTGGTGCTGGCCAATCCGAGCGCCGAACGCGAAACTAGGCAAGTTCCTAGACGCCAGGTTACAGACAGGCGCTGTGAGACGTGCCTGCACAACTGCCCAGATGGCAGCGCCAAAAAAGGGTAGCGTATGAGAATGCTTGCCTAAGACGAGCCTGAGGTAGGCTTTACAATATTTTATTCTATTGAAAAAAAGGGGGAAATCGGTGAATAACTGATATCTTAAGACTACAGATACTTACCAGTACATCTTTTCTTGCAGGATATCGGAAGTGTACGTCTTTAAAATCGATATCACCTTTGAGTTCTGGTTTCTCGCCTTCAGTAGAAAATATGTCTATCGCTGGGTGTCGATTGATGACTGCGTATACTGACGCGGCTGATGCTCTAGCCGTAGTAATAGCTTCCATATGCGGAGCTGTCAATCCAACGTTTTGAGCTCCTTGTAGTACGCTGAAGAAAACCTGTTAGCAAAAATGTTTGTTTGCACCAGTTTCACAGAATAGATCGGTACTACAGGTACCTGATAAATTGAGAAATGTGATACTAATTTATGTGTGTCGTGGTGGCCCGGAGGTTTAAGACGCCCGCTTCTCACGCATGAGGGTGCAGGTTCGAAACCTACCAACGGCATGTACCAATGTGACTTTTTTTAGTTATAGACACCACTGACAAACGGTGAAGGAATAACATCGTGAGGAAACCTGGACTTATAATTTCTAATTATAAGTTTGAAATCGCCAACCCGCATTGAGCAAGCGTGGTGATTAATGCTCAAACCTTCTCCGTATGAGAAGAGGCTTTGCTCAGCAGTGGGCATTTATAGGCTGTTGATGATGATGATACTAATTTACTTCTTTTATTTTTTGTGGTGAAATAATGAAAGCCTAAAGCTGCTAAACTACCACGTTAACTAAAATATTCATGGACATAAAACTTACAATCATAAGTACGGCTGGAGTGTACAAAGGTTTTTCTTCATTTCTGCTGTCCAAGATGAGACCAACACCATACCAAAAGGCTAGGGCGTACGTAGCGTAAATAATGAACCACATAACGCCACTGCCCAAGCCTGCAAAAACACCTTTCTTCATACCCATCTTTTTAGCAGGTTCCAGCCGCTCTGAATATCTGAAAAAATTAAATTCTTTTATTCCATGAAGGGATTAGCTCCAAAACGAAATACATCAAAATATAATACATTCAATTGTCTCAAACGAGGAAGAGAGATTATGGCCAATATTCCTTCACTTGCTCGGCAGTTGCACATTATTTCATTAAGAAAATGTATCGTTACAATTTGTTACGTATTTTTCCACATAACATATCTTCATGCCTTTATTCCCGAAGGGGTAGGCAGAGGTGCACATTACGGCACTTAATGCCACTGTGCAATTTAACACCCACTTTTCACTATTTTATGTTATGAGTCCCATGTAATAGAGGTGACTCCGTACTACTTGAGATTTTTTTTTAAAACCCAGTAATTTTTTGCCCGACCCGGGAATCGAACCGCACTTGCGACCATTCGGCCAATGAGGCAGTCTTTTTCCACTTAATCAAATTCAAATCTTTACAGAAGTTCAAGGTTTGTTACCTCGCTATTTCTATTTTTTCTCCTCCAAATGCGATAACTGTTCGAATGGCAGCGAGTACTTCTTCAGCTATAACTCCTGCTATGCTGTACGCTTTTAGTTCTTGAGAGGTCAGTGACGATTGTATCTGTGGAAAACACTTGTTAAATTCTATACTTAATCCTTACTAATATATAATATATAATTTATAATATTTATAATTTATAATATTTATAATTTATATTTATAATAATAATAATAATATAATATATAATAATAATAATAATAATATAATAATAAGCCCCCCATAAATCTATCTTCACGTCCGGCTTGACCACCTAAGCCACGTGGGGGGCGGACACTGATAACTGTTACTACAGTTAAATCACTACCAGTGACTAACGAAGCTCTAGTGCACCTTCAAGATGGAGAGAGAAATAAGGAATTCTAGTATAGGGCCGCTTCCCGGGGGCGATCGCCGGGGCACGTCTGGAGTTGACGCTGGACGTCTCAGCATGCGAACCGTCAGTGGCTCTACGCTGAACAGGCGGGCTAGAGTCGGGGAACCTGAAAATGCTACTGCCGAACACAACCGTCACGCCGAGGATGCTTTGCAATGCGGGTCTTTGACCCAAAGCGTTGCCGGTACCTCCGCCCTTCAGACCACGACAAGTTTAGAAGATAATTCAAGAATAAGAAAGTGGTCAATAGAGGAACAACGAGAACTCATGTTTTGTTATTTTAAGTCGAAAGCAGAAGGACCAGGATATCTAAAACGTCTTTACAATACATTTAAACAAAGGAATCCAAACAATCTTAAAGCTCATAAACTAGATGGTAATAAACTTTCTAATCAAGCCCGAATAATCATTAATGGTAAAACCATATCTAAGGAAGAATTAGTCTTAATTAAAAATAGAGCAGAACAAGCAGTGGATACAGTTAGCTCAATTTCCGGACACTCAACAACACCAACGCCCAATAATTCTAGATCACAAACACCGATATCAACCACACAATCACTAACACCTAACACAAACCCACACACACTAGATCAACTGAGCAATATGCGAGAAAATGAAGAGATACATGAAGACAGTAGAAGAAAGTGGACTATGGAAGAACAGCATGAACTAATGTTTTGTTATTTCAAAGCTAAATCAGGTGGCACGGGCTACATTAAAAGATTCTATGATTTGTTCCGGTCTCGAAACCCTGATAACCCAAAAATACATAGATTCGACGGAAATAAACTTTCGAACCAAGCTCGTACAATACTCAATCGTAAACTTATATCGGACGAAGTTTTAGCCCAAATTAAACTCAAAGCACAGAACTTAAGTATAGACACCGTGAATGACTCCCCTGTAATTGAAATAAATTACCAACCAGACCCGATTACAATTACACCATATGAAGAAACAAACACGGAAAATCAAGATAGCACTGAAAATGTAGATATTAATGAAAATCAGCATCCCGTAATAGAAGAGTTTTTACAAATATTAGCTGAAGTTAGAGCCACCGACATCAAAGATAGAAAGTTTTTGCCAAAACCAAAATTTACAAAGTATTTTATAGCAAACATGCAAGTAATAAATAAATACCTCCCAAATGTTTTAGAATTTGATAATTCGTTACGTCATTTAAACGATGTTATATACGCAGTAGCTACAACTTTGATAAAAATCAATGACCAGACTCCATATACATTAAACAATAAACCAAAACCTAAAACAGACCCACCTTGGAAATTAAGAATTAAAAATAAAATAGAAGACTTTAGGAAAGAACTAGGTAGGTTAACAGAAATTAAAAGTGGAATAAATAGTAAGAAGTTAAATAAAATTAAAAATAAACTATTCGATAAATACAATATTTTCAGTGACAACGATCGTGATAATACTATGGAAAAAATAAAACAAAAAATTAAAGCACTATCTGCTCGGCTAAAGAGATACGATGATATAGATAAAAGAAAGACGCAAAATATGATGTTTCAAGAAAACCAACATAAATTCTACAAATCACTTACGGAAAATACTAATACTGCAAACTGTTTACCAACGAAAGAAAACATACAAAACTTTTGGACATCAATATTATCGGAACCCATTAGTTACAATAAAAAAGCCGACTGGATTACAGAAATAGAAGCAACAATGAACAATATTGAAAATACAAACTTAGATGAAATAAGCTTAGATAAATTACGGATTGCATTGAGGAAGGTACACAATTGGAAAACACCAGGTATTGATAAAATTCAAAATTATTATTTAAAGTATTTAACTAGCACTCATGGATACATAGCAGACTTATTCACGCGAATTTTAAATAAAACAGAGACAATAGAAGATTGGTTTACAACAGGACAAGTTATACTCATACCTAAGAATAGCGAAACCCAAGACCCGAAAAACTGGAGGCCAATAGCGTGTCTTCCAACAATGTACAAACTACTAACGTCGGTAATAGCTGATGAGTTGTACACCCACTGTGATAATAATAACATATTAGCACCTGAACAGAGGGGTTGTAGGCGGCGTGCTAGGGGCTGTAAAGATCATCTCATGATGAACAAAGCCATACTCGAAGACGCACATCAGTCTCAGAAGAACTTAAGTATGGGGTGGGTGGATTATCGAAAGGCCTTTGATAGTGTTTCGCATGAATGGTTGCTGAGAGTTCTAGACCTTTACAAATGTCCAAACTCTATCAAGGGCTTTCTGGAGACAACCATGCCTACATGGAAAGTCGTCATGACAGCCCGTGGTTCAAATGAATCCGTTACTACTGACCCGATCTACATCAAAAGGGGTATATTTCAGGGAGATTCATTGTCGCCACTTCTCTTCTGTTTAGCAATTAATCCCCTCTCACAAATACTAAATAAATACAAAGAAAAAGGATACAAAGTTAAAGAACCGATAAATCATTTATTATATATGGATGATTTAAAGCTTTATTCGAATACAAAAAACAACCTATCAATCTTAATAGACAGCACTGAGATTTTCACACATGATATTGGAATGAGTTTTGGGCTAGACAAATGTAATGTGTTGCATATGAAGGCGGGTAAGCGAGTAGAACATCAAGGTGTAGGGCACATATTACTGAGTGGTGAGGAATTCGAAAATCTGAAAAGTGATCAAAGTTACAAATATTTAGGTATACACGAATCGGGCAAAATAGAACATAGTATAGTTAGGCAGGGACTACAAAAAGAATACTTCAGAAGAGTTAAACGCATAGCAAATTCTCATTTAAATTCCAGAAATTTGATTAAAGCCATTAATAGTTTTGCAGTACCCGTTTTGTTATATTCATTTGGAGTAGTTAATTACAAATATTCCGACTTAAAAAATATAGATGTAAAAACCAGGAAAATATTAAATATGAACAAAGCACATCAACAAAAAGCTGATTTAGATAGACTATATTTACCAATAGAAACAGGTGGCAGAGGTCTGACTAATATAGAAATGTTATACAAAACACAAATAATTAAATATCAACAATATTTAGAACGTGAAACAGATTACATTATAAAAACAATAGCTGTACACGATAAAAACAGAGATAAATATTCGATAGATAAGGAAGCGAAAGAAAATAGAATAGAACTTAAAATAAACAATAATACAACATGCACAGATACCGAAATAAAATCTGCTAAACTAAAATACATAATAGGAAAATGGAAAGCTAAACCTCTACATGGACAGTTTTATAGATCAGTAATAGATAAAGAAAATATAGATACGAAATACTCGTTTAGATGGCTCAAAAAGCAGGCAATTTCTCCTTCACTAGAAGCATCTATATTCTCAATACAGGATCAAGCCATTATCACCAGGCAACACGAAAGAGATGTGCTCAAGAGAGCGGTGGACGGTAAATGCCGGCTATGTGGCGTCAAAGACGAGACCGTGCAACATATTGTGGCGGGATGCGAGCAGTTAGCTGGAACCTACTACACTAAGAGACACAACAACGTGGTGCAGTACGTATACTGGACCCTCCTCAAAAAACACAAAATGGAAACAACCAGCTTATGGTGGAAGGAACAGCTCATTCAACCGCAAGTCAAAGAAAATGATTCAGCAAAAATAATGTGGGAAATTCCAGTTCAGACAGATGTCACAGTTACACACAATAGACCAGATATTATTTACATTAACAAAACTGATAATAAAACATATTTAATAGACATAACAATACCATCAGACTACAATATAGGTGCTAAAGAAATAGAAAAATTAAGTAAATATCATCTATTACAAAAAGAAGTAACCCGTTTATGGAAAACACACGCTCAAGTCATACCCATAGTCATAGGAGCGTCCGGAATGGTAGCTAAAAGTATTCACAAATATTGCGCACAGTTAGACTCCAACATTAACATCCACATCATGCAAAAACAGGCAGCTATTCACACAACCACCATCCTGAGTAAAGTCTTGGGGAATACTATATATGTAGACAGGGACCGCGATCCTCCTCTTCCTTGAGGGTCTCAGGGCGGGAGGATTGCGAAATACCGACTCTCACGAGTCGAGATGTAGGACATTACACACAGTATAATAATAATAATAATAATAATTAATAATATTAATAATATAATATAATATAATATAATATATAATATAATATATAATATAATATAATATATATAATAATATTATAAATGGGAAAGTGCGTTTGTTTGTTTGTTTGTTTGTTCCACTATCACGCCGTAACTACTCAACCGATTGCTTTGAATTTTTGCAGACGTAAAGTTAGAAGTCCGGATTAAATAATAGGGTACTTTTTAACCCAGAAAAAATTATATTCCCGAGGAAAAACAAAAGTATTGGTATAGATGGCGCTGTGTGTATTGGTATATGTCACATAGGCTACTTTTTATTCTTTTGTGACGCGAGCGAAGCCGCGTGTAAAAGCTAGTTATTTATAACCCTCAAGCCTCCAAGAAATGAAGGTACATCCTCCTAGAAGGCCGGTTACACAGTGATTGTTCTGGTGTTTGTTGCAGGTGCCCATGGGCGACGCTGATCGCTTACTATCAGTAATCGGTCTCTCTGTCGCGTCCAAGAGAGATGCCTAAATCTGTGATTTTTAAATACTTGATACTTTGTAAACCTGATTGAAAAAGAGTAACCTATGGAGTTTCTTACTCGTTCTTCTCCATAGGAATCTACGCCTTGGAATGAGCAACTAGCTTCACTTATACATTTTTGTTGTTTGACGTTCAAAAGTGCCATCCTGGTCTAATTGAAATAAATGATTTTGACTTTGACTTCCTGGTTATTTAAAAAAAATCATACAATTTCAATTTCGGTAGGATCATGATATTGAAATTATGTTTTTTACTACGAACCTTAGCAACCACGGCTGTGGTAGCGATGACCACTGGTGTACACGATAGGAGTACTAGAGTTAGTTCCCAGCCATAGACGAAGGAGATGATCACTGACGTGACAAATGACATCACCAGGTAAATGAAGATTGGTACTTTTTCCGCAATGCCTTCCCGAAATTTCTCGATGTCACTGAAAATAACATAATATTACGCCTTTCATCCCCGGAGGGATGGTCAGAGGTGCACATTACGACACTTAATGCCACTGTACAATGTTACTTCCACTTTTCACTATTTATGTTATGAGTCCCATGTAATAGGGGTGAGTGTAATAGAGACTGAAAATAAGTATACAGATAAGTAATGAGATTATTGATCAAAGTTGTGGGTGATCCCCATCCCCACGCGGGAGAACCATATGCACGAATGGGTTATGATGATACCATGGTTTAACAGAATATAAGTATTATTAAATGCCTGTTCAAAAATGCATTAATTAGAAAACTTACACAGTAGTTAAATATTCATAAAAATATTGAATATAAAACTCACTCGGACACTTTGGTGGCGAAGTTCATTGTGGTGTTCAAGTCGTACCACGTAATGTCCTGACGGAGAACTGATCTAAGAAACGTTGCTTTTAGCCTGTCCACCTGAGAAATTTAAGTTAGAGATTACAAAGCTACACATTAGTATCCTATCGTGAGACATACTGAATTAAATAAAAATCGCGGGTTACTCACGTAACAATACTGAGAAAAGGTCTACCACTAATTGGAGGCGATGTCGCGCAGCCTACTGAGCCTACGGAGTAGGTTGCCCGACATCACCACGACCGCGCATGCTGCTCATGAGGAAGAATCTCTCGGGCGGTGGTTCGAAACTAGCAGAACTTTTCTCAGTATTTTTACGTGAGTAACCCGTCACCTTCACAAGTCACCTTCGTTTTGTATCGAAATCTCTAAAACTGTGAAAAGGGACTGAGAGATGAGTTGCATCCTCTTTCGTTAACATACTGTGATCTCCTGGACAGTAGGATAGTGGTTATGGTACATCTCCTATTATGAGGGAGGTCTTTACTTTATTTAATAGATGACGTACCTGATGCTGATGAGTTATATAGAAAGGAACTATATCATGTAGTCGGTACTCATATAGATAGGTAGTCCTTTTAAAAATTAATTCTCGAAGGAAATCCATACCTGATTGAGTGCTATATAGTTGAAGATATCCACACTGATCAGACCAACTAAGAGTTGTCCTATTGAGAACACTGTGCAACCGATGCCAAAAGCCTGAGAGTCTTGAATTAAAGCAACTCTATTTTCTTCTCGCGTTGCATTCGTGCTGGAAAATAAAATAAATTCAATATTTTTTTTTGATATAATTTTTTTTAAACGTTGCCCCACATTAGGATTTTCTCCTGTGTTGTGGCAGGGTGCGTTTACAAACATACAAATGACACCCAGACCCGAAACAACAATTTTGTGGATTACACAAAGAGTTGCTCCGTGCGGGAATCGAACCCGCTACACGTTGCGCGGCAGCCGGTTGCCGAGCCACCGCGCCAACCGTGCAGTCGTTTCGTCATAATTTCCTATTTTAATAATTTTGAGGTCATGTGGGATATATTTTACTAATTACTGGGTTATCAGTTTTTAAAGAGTCGAGGCTGATTTTGGTTCTAGTTAAAATTTTATTGGTGTAAGTGTGGGAGAGCCGCATGCTTCGGTGTGTGACGAGTGGGCCGGCACGACCAGAGTGATGCCACGGCCTCACAGATAACCGACGTAAAACCACGCTTGCGTTGTGTTTCGTCGTGTGATGAGGTTGCCGGAGGCCCGGTAACCGTACCGGCTTATCCCATTAAAAAAAATTAGGCGATTCGATTTTCCAAATCAGTCTTAACATGTTTCGATATTACGACACATATTAAAGAATGGGAGTTCCATTCAAATATCAACTCTTCCCAAGTTCTGATGATTACTTACAGTATTTTGCCTCCACCAAATAGTACTATGGTGATCGTTTCCGTCGAAGTGCCGGTCATGACTGTCCGGTCGATGAGTAGCGCCGTGAACTCGCCATAGATGATGCAACCCAGGGGCACAAAGAAGCCATTTAAGCAGGCCATAATAACTCCAACCAGCAGCAAGAGTATCTCACACGGCGTAGCATACTTATACTGTGGAATACAATTATAATAAACATAACATCACGCTTTTTATCCCTGAAGGGGTAGGCAGAGGTGCTCATTACGGCACTATACAAATGTAGCATCCACTTTTCACTATTTATGTTATGAGTCCCATGATACTTTGCCCAACTTGGGAATCGAAGCCGAGACCGAGACCCTTGCCTGGCAGTCGCACTTGTGACCACTCGGTAAACAAGGCAGTCTAATTTATTTTATATTATCTATTTCTACCTGAGAATGTGTCCACCAGGAATTTAAGAAGATATTCAATTCTTTTGCAGTAAAGGAACGTTCCACAAATCTGTAGCATTTATTAAAAATCCTTTATAATTACATTCCTAGGCATCCCATGAAAGCTATGTGACAGTTATATTCTTTATTCGGCTGTAGATACGGCTGTGAATGCCTTTAGACTTTAGAGAATAATTAGGCATAATTCTAAAAGACTCAAGATGTATCATAGAATAACTACTTACTAATTTATACCAAGAAACTGGTGTACTCCTTTCCTTTTCTTCTTTTTCTCTGAAATTAAATTTTTTATTTAAACCACATTGACAGATTTACTGTATTTGTATTATAACTTTCGTCATACTAAATAAATTATTATGTCTTCGGCTTACTCACGTTATTATTTGACGAGGAACTCGACTAGTTTCAAGCCATGCTAGAGGCTCATGAATATGAGCAATGCGAAAACATAATTACATTGACAGAGATGCAAAACCCGTGGGTAGGTTGCCATATATAAGGAGGCTCCGGCAAGGAGCAGGAGTCGTATTGGGTGCTTTTTATTTATTAGTACGTTGAACAATCTACTATCTGCTAAACATCGGACATAAGGTCTATAATGAAGTTAGTTGGGGACCGGTCGCCGGTGACTGCTTGGGGAATGAGCATTTAGTCAGTAATAGTCTCACTCTACCTCTTGCCAGGGCCGTCTTTGGGGTACTTATGTACACAACAATTTGGCGCCCTTTTGAAATGTTTTTTGTAAAGTTTACCCACAGTAGGATTTTCTCGTTTATTGTGGGTGCGTTTATAAAGATACAAGTTAACATACACATGACACACCAGACCCAAAACAACAATTTGTGGAGCGCTCAAAGATCTGCTTCGTGCGGAAATCGAACTCGGTACACGTGTAGCGAATGTGTGTCGGTCGTAGAAATTGTCGGTCCTTTAGGGCCTTCTAAGGATGGGGGTCCTGGGCAAGGGTTCCGAGTGGCCTTACGGCAAAGACGGTGCTGCCTCTTGCTTCACGCAGGGCGGGAGGAGTTTTATTGTCGATTTCCTACCCACAATAAAGGGGATTTGACCCACATAACGTCGGACCTTATAAATACTTACTCGTTTAAAAGTTTTTCAGCTAAATAAGCAGAGTGCTGTGCTAATGTGCTTATAGTAAGGGAATTCGAACGCCATCCGCCCAGTGCATAGGACGCCTGTCCAGCACTCATGCGCCGTTGTGCTGAATATTTTGAAACGCTTCTGTTCGAGTCATCGCGTTTCATTCTCGGGCCAGCCGCTCTGAAAACCAAAATCTAATTTAATGACTTCGTACCTACAACAAAATCAAGGGAGAGAGAGAGAATGCCTCACTAAATTAAATCTATATTAGCGCAAAGTTGGAAAGTGTTCTCGATCCATCGCACTTAAAAGTTAAAATAAGAGCGCTATTATATCTCTTTTTAAACAGTTTTATTTAGTTTACCCCGTTTGTTTGGATCAAAATTAGGAATCAGAATTTCATACCCTTCCTTCTTGATGACCATAATATAGGTATTTTAACGTTTTTCACCATTCTGAATTTTGAACGAGAAGGCTATCAAACGAAAAGGAGATCGTTAAAACTGTTTACATAAAAAAATATTTTTATAATACATACTTTTATATATTGTACAGTGTGTTACATTGTACAGAGGAATTAAGTGCCGTTATGTGCACCTCTGCCTACCCTTTCTGAGATGAAAGGTTATGTATGTACTTGTATATAATTATGTGTGTATGTCAGTACATACACACATAATTATTATCGCAGTAGCAGTCTACTGCTGTGTGAGGGTGCCGTAACGTCATATGTTAATATGTTGTTAATAAATAATTTTCGTTTCCATTTAGTTGAGGTTTTGTGTGATTAGACATTACATTTTATTCAGTCAACATGTTTTTATGCAATAGTAGGCAAACGAGCTGACGGATCACTAGACGGTAAGCGATCAGCGCCGTCCATGGTCCATGCAAGATGACCTTTTAAAAAGGAATACGCTCTTTTCTGAATCCTCCCATTTATAGAAGCACTTAGCTATTTACACACTGAATAAAATAACGACACACCTTAAGATGAAGCATTAAGTATTAAGCTGAACTCCAGCCCTTTTGCACTGCGCCGCACCATGGACTTTTTGTGTGTACCTGTATCCTTGTTGTGTGTCGTGACGTAATGGATTTTCTTTCTTTCTTCTTTCAGATGAAACACAGGTATTGATTGGAAAAACACTCATGTTTACACAAGTGTGTAATTGTGCGTATTTTCACAAATACTTTAGTATCTATATATCATATTAAATTCGGCTATATGTACTTACTTCTCTTACAATAATTTCTATACTTAATGCCAAACATACGCAAATTAGCGTACACCATTTGATTCATTCATTTCTTATCATGGTCTGTGAAACTTAAACAATTTACTTGTTTTAATTTAAAGATATTTGGTGTTATTATTTTAATCAGAGCTATATTGACATGACAGAAGGAAATGTCTACCAGAAACTATTTTTTTGCAAGAAGTACGGAAGTAAGAAGTATATAAGGGAAAGTATTATTCACAATGCCTGTGAGGATGTACTTGTAAAATAGTGGTAGTAATATATATGTTACCGGCCAAACCCGATTTTAGGACAAACTAGTTTTGCCTAGGCTAAACTAGTTCTTCCTATACGCATTAGGATTAACTAGTATAGCCTAGTTCAAACTAATTTGTCCTAAGCCCGATAGGATAAATTAGTTTAGGCTAGGACAAACTAGTTGATCCTGATATAAATACGCACATTCTAGGATAAACTGGTATGGCGTAGTCGTAGTATGATTATTGCGTTTATTAAAAAACAGGGTGACTGCCTCGTTAGCCAAGTGGTAGCAAATGCGACTACCGGGCAAGGGGTCTCGGGTTCAATTCCCGGATCGGGCATAGTATTACTTATTAGGTTTTTAAAAACAAAATCTCAGTAGTAGCACGGAGTCTGGAATTATGCCCGGTATATGGCAATAGGCCTGTTACATGGGACTCGTAACATAAATAGTTAAAAGTGGATGTTACATTGTTTAGTGGCATAATGTGCACCTCTGCCTACCCCTTCGGGGGTAAAAGGCGTGATGTTATGTGATAAATAAACAGTACATATTGTCAGTTATAGTATGATTGTTTGTATTGCCAATTATTATCTACAACTTGTAGCAACGAATCATTATGATTTTAAATTAATAACCTTTAAATAATTATTGCTAAAAACACTTATTATTTGTTATAGTTTGTATTACCAATTAACCATAAGTTTTAACGACGAATCATTATAGTTTCATAAAAATGATTATTTTACCAAATACGGAGTATTTAATTTAATTTATCTATTTATTTTGACTTTCTAGATACCTATATTAGAATGTTTAGACTAGGCCATACCAGTTTATCCTAGAATGTGCGTATTTATATCAGGATCAACTAGTTTGTCGTAGCCTAAACTGGTTTATCCTATCGGGCTTAGGACAAATTAGTTTGAACTAGGTTATACTAGTTCATCCTAACGCGTATAGGAAGAACTAGTTTAGCCTAGGCAGAACTAGTTTTTCCTGAAATCGGGTTTGGCCGGTAACATATATATTTTATACTTGATAGTTCGACGACGTTTGACCTCCATCTCGCTTGGTGGTAAGCAATGATGTGGCCGACGATGGAGCTCGCCTACCTATGAGCAACCTGTTCACTCGGAATTTGAAGCCATACAGATTTCGGCAAGGAGTTCCATTCCTTAGTTGTTCGCACAAGGAAGCTTGATGCGAAACGCTTCGTGCGAGTGAGTGGAATGTCCCCCATATTAAGGTAGTACCCTGCCGTTCGTCTTTTAGTACGGTGGTGAAACGGACTAGGGGGTATAAAGTTATGCAATTCCCACGCACACTTACCGTAATGTATGCGTCAGAAGATCAATTTATCGACAGAAAACATAGTTAAATTTTTAATATGTCATCCTAATGTCATAATCTTTCATTTGTCTGGACTCTAGAAAAGACGGACCTCTAAGTCTCTCGGCATTTCGTCTCAGAGTAGTCGGTTAGGAAATGTCGGCCTCATCGTTCGCTTGATAAAATTGACGTGTAAAAGTGCTGCGTTGTAGCCTATTTACAGAAGTTTCACTTGTTTAACGCATTAAACGCCATGGGGGTCACGTGTGACCAACGTTAGCGGAAGATTTGTCTGCAACAATTTTCTATTGGCAGTCAAAGCCTTAAACGTACCTCCCAGCCTGCCTCTTCGGAAATAAGTGGTATGATGTTCATGACATTGTTGTTAAAAGCAGAAGTTGTTGAAATATAACAATGAATAGGAAGCCTAGAGATAAAATTATGATACCAAGTAACCAAGTCAACAATGATTTTCAAGTATAACTAAATAAATAATATTTTATTGTAAATATTTATTCTTTATTAATACGACGTATTGATTCCCTTATCTGTCAAATGATACCGGTAAAGGACCCGATAGGTAGTATACCTGTTTATAAATAGGATAGGTATTAGTGTAGTGCATAAGTAAATAATAACGCATAATTCCGTGAGATAATACTACCTAAGCAGTATTTCCTTATTTAAAAGTCACAATTTTGCAGATTAAGTAATAACCATTTACTTGAAGAGAGACTGTCTCGTTGGCTGAGTGGTCCCAAGTGCGACTGCCGGACAAGGGGTCTCGGTTTCGATTACCGGGTGGGGCAAAGTATTACTGGGTTTTTCTCAGTGGTAGCACGGAGTTTGGAACTATGCTCGGTACCCGGTATATGGCAATAGGCTCACCCCCTTTTACATGGGACTCATAACATAAGTAGTGAAAATATGGTGTTACATTGTACCTCTACAGTGGCATTAAGTGCCGTAAAGTGCACCTTTGCTTACCCTTTCGGAGATAAAAGGCATGATGTTATGTTGAACAGAATATCATAATTTTATAATAACTATCGTGAGATATGTCTAATGTATAATAACTATAATGATATTTTTTTGATAATATTTTATATTTTTGATGATATTTTCTTGAAAGTTTTACTAAACCTAGTAGAGTTTATCTCAATCTCAGTATGTTAACGTAAGTAAACGGTTAATTTTCTACATCTACATGTACACTAATATTATAAACAGGAAAGATAATTTTATGTTTGTTTGTTTGAATTGAATAGGCTCCGAAACTGCGAGACCAAATTGAAAAATTCTTTTATCATTGGAATCCTTACTTTATTCCTGATGGCTACATTTAATAAGAGAAAAAAAGACTAATTCATAAACCTAAATTCTGCTTGAAGTCTACGAGAGCGAAGTCGCGGGCAGAACTGCTAGTACCTATTCAATAAAATATCACATTAAAATATGTATTGTATTGTGTATTAATAAAGTATACACTTGAAAATGTTATTAAACAAAAACAATTTTTTTTAATCTAATTTAAATGACTTCCATACAGTTAGTTAGTAGACAGTTTTTGAACTAAGTACAGACTGGACACACGATTAGCTAACAAATCAGCTCAAGGGCTGCCAGACTATAGTTAAATTAGAATATTGTAACACGCCAAATACACCTGCCAGGAACACTACGCTATTATTATAATCAATTTTTTGTCACAGAAATGTGAACCTTGTTGGATTACGATAAGCGCGAGGGTGTGTGGATGTGGTTCTTAAAATATTTCATTCAGTCACAGTCTAGGGAATGTTTAATTGCAACGTGATATTTACGAACCTATGTACTGACGGAGTTTCGTAACTTTTTTTGACGTATGTATTTGTTACGTAACGTTTTCAATGATCTGATGACGTCAGTGGATGCGCGTCTACCGTCATACTTAGGAACTTTTCTAAAAGAGTGGAAAATTACCTGGGGGTCTTCAAGGCCCGAGTGAATAGGTTGCTTATGGGACGATGTACTCCATCGTAGACCGTATCATCGCTGACCACCAGGCGAGATAGTGGTCAAACGCCGTCTCAACAAATATATGAAAAAATAATAATTCGCTGCATAACTATGATCTGTGAGGAGGAACTTTATACGGAGATTGTAGAGTTGCTATAAATAACAGATCTGTCGTGTGCAGAAAGGGTTGCTCGTTTATACAACGTTGTGTTGTTGTTTTTATTACTCACATTTTTATATTAAACTGACGATGAGTCGATGGCCTATATTAGACTCAGTTTCATGAAATGAAACATTACTTGTAATTTTGTAACATTAATTAATAACTCGT